ATGAAAGATTGGTATCAGATTGGAGGGAGGAGTATGGAGGGGTAAATGTTTCAGATATTTGGGAGGGGAGTGTCCGCGGAGGGGTCTAAGAAAGATAAGGGAATCATAGAATTGATGAGGGGAAAAGGGTGAGTGTGCACTTGGGGGTTGGAAGACAAAGAATTTTGCCCTTGGAGGAAAAAGGGGGGAAAGTAGGATTTCCCTGGATTTTACCGGGAGATTTCCCGGGGGGGTAAACGCCCCCGCCCCCCGGGTCTGTGCCCAGGCCTCCTGGTGGATCAACCCTGAAAAACCGGCTGTTACTGTGGCTGCACGAAAACCAACTTACAGCCACAGCCGGCGGGTCGGGTCCCCGACTTTAGGTGTTGTCCGTGCCAGCTTGAAGACTGCCGGGGGGTCTTTTTGGAAATCCCCCTTATTTTGCGGGAGGATTTGAACGTTGGGGCCCCCTGACATTATTGAATGGTCTCTTAACGTGCTAGTGACACCCCTGCTTTTCATTGGGGGGATGTTGCATCGTCTGCCAAGTCTTTTGCTCTTATATGGGTGTGAAGCATGGGTAATGAATGTTGCAGCGAGGAGAAGGCTGGAGGCAGTGGAGATGTCATGTCTGAGGGCAATGTGTGGTGTGAATATAATGCAGAGAATTCGTAGTTTCGAAGTTAGGAAAGGTGCGGGATTACCAAAACTGTTGTCCAGAGGGCTGAGGAAGGGTTGTTGAGGTGGTTCGGACATGTAGAGAGAATGGAACGAAACAGGGGTAGGGGTCGGCCTAGGAAAGGTTGGAGGGAGGGGGTAAAGGAGGTTTTGTGTGCGAGGGGCTTGGACTTCCAGCGGGCATGCGTGAGCGTGTTTGATAGAAGTGAATGGACCAAATGGTTTTTAATACTTGACGTGCTGTTGGAGTGTGAGCAAAGTAACATTTATAAAGGGGAAATTCGGGGAAACCGGCAGGCCGGACTTGAGTCCTGGAGATGTGAAGTACAGTGCCTGCACTCTGAAGGGGGGGGTGTTAATGTTGCATTTTTTAAAACTGTAGTGTAAAGCACCCTTCTGGCAAGAAAGTGATGGAGTGAATGATGGTGAAAGTTTTTCTTTTTCGGACCATCCTGCCTTGGTGGGAATCGGCCAGTGTGTTAATAAAAAATAATAATATATATTTTATAATATATATATATATATAATATATTTTATATATATATTATATATATATATATATATACTATATAATATATATATATATATTATATATATATATATATATATATATATAAAATATATATATATATATATTATATATAATATATACATACATACATACATTTTACACGCCTCTATGAGTAACCAGTTAATACAATATAAAATTTCATTATAATTTTAAAAAGATTGGATTAATTGAGGTGAAGGTTGTGTTGTGTTGTGTTGTGTTGTAAGCGTTGTGAGAGGCATGGCGGGTGAGACGTCGCGCTCCTGCCTCACATCTTTACTACAAGTTTGTGTGTTAATATGGTGTTTCTGGGTGAGCTGGGCCTCCAAACTTAATGTCCCGAGAGTGCTCCTCCCTTACAACCATGAGATACCATCCAATTTCACCCTGAAAGTGTTTGAGGGCGGCTGTTATAGGTGGTAAGCATGGGTTTCAAAATTGAGAACTTTGGCGGGGGGTAAACCCGGGGTGTGTTGCCTCTATTTTAACTTTTTTATCGACACTTTGTGTTATTTTGCTCCTTGGGATCATAACTAGCAATTCTTTGATGTTATGGAGATTCTTAGCCTTTTGAAGGATCGCACATTTTTTTTTATAAGTTGTATCAGTACTCCAATAGAAATCCAAGACCTCAGTGGAAATAATTCACTGACTTTTTTGGGGGGTTATCCTAGGTAATTTATACAGGTATATACAAATACAGTTACATAGATTATCATACATAGCAGCATATATGTAGAGAACCTGGGATAACGTAAAAAAGTCAGTGGCTTATTTCCATTATTGTCTTATGCTATTTATGTGTGACAATTTGTGTAACTATTTGTACCTGTACCTAAATAAATTAACTTACGTCGACCCTCATTGTTGTTTCTTGTACAACTCTGTTATGTTGGGAGATATTAACAAAAATAATTTGTTTATGGATGTACAGCTCATCAGAGCTAATCAGCGGTTAATTAATATTGACACTCCTGGCCAGTCACAACCAATATAAAGAGAGATGATTTGAATGTCATCCAAGGCGAGCCAGACCCATATCTACCACTGGTTGAGTAAGATAGGATCAATTTTGTTGGAGGATAACCCTAGAAAGTCAGTGGGTCATCATAGACTCGTTTATTTCCATTGTGGTCCTTCAGTTTTATCCTCCAGGATGCGACCCATACCAGTTGACTAACGCTTGGTTACCTACTTACTGCTGGGCGAACAGGGACAGCAGGTGTAAAGAAACATGACCACTCATGCCGGGGATTGAACCATGGACACGCATTGTGCGAAGCGAGAGCATTGCCTACCAAGCCACTACTGGGTTATAATAGGTTCTTTTAAGTTGAGTGCTGTTAGCTTTAATTAGTTTTTCTTACATTTGCACAATATAAAATTATATCAGTCACAAAGCCAACCAAACATGGCATTTTTAGGAATAAATTATGGCTAAATTTACATAAAGACCATAATTACCTAATACTGTAGTGAACTCTGAGGGAAAATCCTGAGGAGATAGATAAGGTTGATTGCATTCAAAATTCTCTTGTAATTTTTTCTGAGGCCTGGTCACAGACCGGGCCGCGGGGGCGTTGACCCCCGGAACTCTATCCAGGTAAACTCCAGGTATCTACCTAAGGGACTGCATAAACTATTATTAGATTGTAAGCTTAACACATTAACACATATATTACCTGGAGGTTATTCCGGGGATCAACACCCCCGCGGCCCGGTCCATGACCAGGTCTCCCGATGGATCAGGGCCTGATCAACTAGGCTGTTACTGCTGGCCGCACGCAGTCCAATGTACGAGCCACAGCCCGGCTGATCCGGCACTGACTTTAGGTATCTGTCCAGCTCTCTCTTGAAGGCAGCCAAGGCTAAGGTATTCTTTAGAATCTTATATAAAGGCAAAAAAAACAAATGTATTCTTTTAAGATACCTTTATTGAAGGTATTTGCCTTGGGACCTTGATCAGGTCAAATATAGTACTGTAATTAGTGTAGTTAGGTAATTATCATAAATGGCACAGTCATTGGACAGGGGGGCTAAGGTGGCCTAAGCTTCGCAGTTGCAAATATTTTTTATTTTTTTCAATTAATCGCTGTTTTCCACTGCATTATATTGACCAATGACCACAAAAGTACAATCTGATAAATGTCACATGTTACTGAAAATCAAGTGTTTTTAAAGAAAATTTCTTTGATATTTTGAGAATCTTATGATTTTAAGGTCTCCCCAGAGTGAAATTTGTATTGACACCCTGTCCCACCCAGACTGAAATCCTGGCTGTGCTACTGATTACCATGAATACATCGGTTTTTCATATTTTCAGGTCGTGTTCAAGAACTGAAGTTGTCAGGCTTTATGAAGTTATAGAAGATGAGTGTGCCAACGAAGTACAGGTGTCTGCCATCAGTCGGTCACCCTCTAGACAAACAGCTATTATCTTGGCTCAAGATACAGGTACGTTTTAATTTTGCATTTTTTTTTTATTTGCCTATTTGTAATTGCCACACACTGCATTCTTAAATATACATCGTACCTCTTTGATCTCCTCCTCCTCTTCTCTTTTTTTGTATATACGCACATGTGATAGTATTGTGCTCTGTCAGTATTTGGAGTGTACAAACTTCAAAAAATTATACAGTAAACAATATGTCCCCAGTAGCAAATTGATAGATTTTTACATGAGAACATTTGTTCTACTCATAAAAAGGCTTTCATGACAAAAAGATACAATTTTACAAGCATTGCTTTTTCACAATCATTGGTTTTTGCCTGCAGGCAGCGGAGGAATTTTACGTTGTGATGTTCTTGTTGACACAATTCATCGATTGGAGATAGTTACTACAACGAGAGAACTGTATGTAGAGGAGGCTCCAGAAGAATTTGAAGTTCGCGCATATGATGACCAAGGTAAGTAAAAAACTAAAGATTTTTTGCAGTTCAGTTAAATGGACACAGGTGCTAGAGGTGGGAAGGGCACTGCCTGTACTCTGGAGGAGGGGTGAGATACTGCAGTTTGTTGGGTTATTTTAATTGTTATGTTGTCACACTTCTGGCATGACATCAATTAAGTGAATGATGGTGAATGTGTTTCTTTTTTGGAGATTACCCTACTTTGGTGAGAGACAGTAGCAAGAAAAAAAATATAAATGCAGATGTGAAATATGATTAATTGAGTGCAGTACTGGCATTGTCTGAAAACTCATGGTAATATTAATGTTAAGGCTCCGACTGTGTTTTTGGATTAAAACGTTGACTTTGAGGTGTATTTTCGTATACTATTTATGGTTGTATTCTTGTTTTCTTGGCCTCATTTGATAGAATGGAAAACACATTATAGAAAAAGAAGTGATTTTGTTTGGTTTTACTATGAAAAGGATGTTGAAATTGAGCTCAAATTGGCAGAAATGTTCAGTTTTTGCCGATGTTCAAGAGTAATCAAATGACGTCATTGTCCAATAAATGTCCAGCTAGCCATTGTAATGCGCAGTCACGAATAGGTTGACGTTATTTACACAGTTATTACAATATTGCAGTAGTCTGCATGACAGTAAATCTTCTATTTTTTGTGTGAATAAAAATTCAAAATAGAAAGCAAGAGTATTATAACAGGGACCTGGAGATGTGACTGATGAACAGAGAAAATGTTATTTTAGTGCCAGGAATGTTTGCATTGTTCATTCTGGACCCTATTTTGAAATTGACATATTTTTTAATATGCATGAAATTGGCCAAATTGCCAATTTCTGACCATTTTATTGGGTAGTTGAAATCGGTAAATGGGCGGTTTCTTGTACTCAGTCGATAGAACAAATGGAGTTCTAAAGAAATAGCTATGAGTTTGATGGACTGGAACAATGGAATTGGCAAATGGGGCTCAAAGTATGCAAAATTGCCGATGCATAAATGTTGCTGAGATGGCTAACTTCGTGAGAGCATAATTCCGTAAGTTTTCCATCAAATTTCGTACTTTTGGTGTCATTATCATCGGGAAAAGATTCTCTTATCATTTCACAAGAATTTTTTTTTTTTTTTTTAAATATTTTGCGACATCAGGAGACACTTCAAGATTTGGGGTTGTGACAGTCAAAGGGTCAATAGAGAAATTCAGGGAAACTGGTGGAGATGCTGTTTTATTGAATAAATTAGTACTGTATGGCATTTAGAGAAAATTTGCCATGGAAAATATTTTAAACACAAGTACAACATGGAATAAGAAAGAGAGAAGTTTGAAAGTCATTATTTAGTGGCAAGAAATTGGGTGACATTTACAGGAGGCACCAGAGAAAATCATAATTTCAACCAGCAGTACATGTATTAAACAATAGTCACCCTGTATTAATGCTGGTAGAATTACCAACTATGTTAGGTAAAAGGGTACAAGTGCAACTAATGTGACATTTTATTGTGGCAACATTTCGCTCTCCAGGATCTTGGTCAAGCTGTAACATCTTGACAGAGTTGTAACATCTTGACAGAGTTGTAACATCTTGACAGAGTTGTAACATCTTGACAGAGTTGTAACATCTTGACAGAGTTGTAACATCTTGACAGAGTTGTAACATCTCGACAAAGCTGTAACGGCTTGACAAAGCTGTAACAGCTTGACAAAGCTGTAACGGCTTGACAAAGCTGTAATGGGTTGACAAAGCTGTAATGGGTTGACAAAGCTGCAACGGCTTGACAGAGCTGTAACGCCTTGACAGAGCTGTAATGGCTTGACAGAGCTGTAACGGCCTGACAGAGCTGTAACGGCTTGACAGAGCTGTAACGGCTTGGCAAAGCTCTTGGAGAGCGGAACATTCCCACAATAAAATGCCACATTAGTTGCACTTGTACTTTTTACGTAACAAAGGTCTCCTTATGTATATACATGTACCAAAACTACAACAGTAGAGACTGATCCTGTAAAATTTGTTGTTAATGAGAGAAAGCTGGCAGGAAAGTCTGCAAGTTCAACACAGATGGGGGCACTTGGTAAAGAGGAACAAATGCAAATCTTTTAAAATGGTATGTACAGTGGAACCTCAAATTTTGAACTTAATCCGTTCCAGGAGCTAGTTCTAAATTCGAAAAGTCTGAAATTCGAAGCAATGTTTCCCATAAGAAATAATGGAAATACAATTAATCCGTTCCAGAAACCCAAAAATATTCACAAAAAATACATTTTATAGAGATAAATTACAGTTTTACATACACACTACAAATGCTATAGTCTTTAATTGTGTATAGTCATATAAAATAACATTTTTACTTACCTTTATTGAAGATTGGTGATGGCATATGGAAGATAGGGAGGAGAGAGGGAGTTGGGGTTATTGTTTGGAAGGAGAATCCCCCTCCATGAGGACTTCCGATATCAACGCCCTCTCTGGGGTTGCTTCCCTTCTCTATATTTTAATGCCATTAGGACCAGCTTGAGAGTCATTGGACCCCAGTCTCACAAAATAACTGTCTACAGTCCTCTGTTTCTGTCTCACAAAATAACTCTACAGTCCTCTGTTTCTGTCTCACAAAATAACTGTCCACAATCGTCTGTTTCTCACAAAATAACTCCACAGTCGTATGTTTGTCTCACAAAATAACTGTCCACAATCGTCTGTTTGTCTCACAAAATAACTCCACAGTCGTCTGTTTCTGTCTCACAAAATAATTGTCCACAGTCCACTGTACATCCTGGCAAGCTCAACAAGTCTCACTCCAATCTCATACTTCTGTAGTATTTCCTCCTTCACATCTATGGTGTTTCTCACTTTCTTTACCACAGGAGCACCACTAGCAAGTTTCTTTGGGCCCATGGCAGCTTATTTCACAGCCCCACAAGGACTAAACACAATTAAATAATCATATAATGTGTGAATGAGATTGCAGGTTAGTGTTCACTCAGGCATAAACAAAGCTAGACTGCTCATGGCACCTGCGCGGGGACGAGGACAGAGCGGGCCAGCGGACAGGTCCTGTACCTGGCGGTCCGAAAATAGGGGCGTGTTCGATAATAGGTACACAGTTTGTCCGAAAAAATTGTCTTACTTTCGAAACGTTTGATATGTGATATGTTCGATTTTTGAGGTTCCACTGTATGAAGGTTAGATAAATTCAATGTGAGACACATCTTGGGAAAAAAGGAGAAGCAGGTTTGCATGTTGGGGGGGTTAAGATGTAGTGTTAGTATAGTAGCTTAGGTATGAAAACATACAAAGATATACAGTGGACCCCCGCTTAACGACCACCTCCAAATGCGACCAATTATGTAAGTGTATTTATGTAAGTGCGTTTGTACGTGTATGTTTGGGGGTCTGAAATGGACTAATCTACTTCACAATATTCCTTATGGGAAAAAATTCGGTCAGTACTGGCACCTGAACATACTACTGGAATGAAAAAAGTTCGTTAACCGGGGGTCCACTGTATTTATAAGTCTAAGAATAATGTTAATAACATAGTAAAAAGAGTTGTAATAGATATTGGGGAAAAATTGTTCTATTCTTAGACCTATTCATTTATTTCTTGCAGGCAATGAATTTACTACATTGGAGGGCATTGAAATGATATGGGATCTTCAGACCTTGGCTGATCGGGGATCTGTAGTGGCTGCACAGACTGTTCTCCGGTGAGCCATTTCCTTAAAACTTGCATTGGAGCATTTTTTTTTTTTTTTACTCTAATTGAAAATATCCAGTAAGGATTTTGTGTTTGTTTACATGTAATGTTTTAATCACCAGATTCATGACATTTGAGGGGTCACCATATGAAATGCCACCCTCTATTGCACCTCTTGAAGAGAGTGGCCGCATGGGTTACATGGTTCTCATTGAAGGAAGACAAACCGGCTCAGCCAGACTTTCAGTTAGGGTTGCTCATCCAGCATATAAGGTTAGTATTTATGACTTTTATATATTAGTAGTATTTACTGGTGGCAAACTATTTCTGGATCTTTGTTGTAAAGAACCCCAGCTTTGTCCTCTAAAAATGAGAGGATGTGAGAGATACTAGTTGATTGTGAGTAGCTACAGGGGGTCACTGGAAGATGAAAAATATGAAAATCCAACTTTCATTATGATTTGTAGCAAATTTATCAGTTTTCAAGAAAAATTTTAATTACTAGAAATTAAGTCTTCAACCTTCATGCAACAGCTGATCATCATCAGTGAGTTCTGCATATTCTTACAGTTAATGAGGGCCCATACAGTGTTAGTATTAGTCTTTTCTTTAAAGTGTGTTACTGTATAAATACAGTATAGATTGTATGTTAATGCTACTGTGAAGTAATTGTTTTGATTTTTCTCTCTCAACGAAACAGCCGTATCCCACCAAGGGAGGGTAACCTAAAAAGAAAAATGAAAGTTTTTCTTTTTAAACTTAGTAATTCAGTATATTTATGTTGTTGATTATGGAGATGTTTCAAAAATTGACATCTTATATAGTTTTTCAATTGCAAAACATTTTGACAGAGGTTTTAGTTCTGATGTGTGTGCCTTGGTGTAGCTACTGCAAGTCTTGGTTATTAATAAATGGACAACAGAAAAACATTTTGAACAATAATAATTATCCTAAATTCTTAAATTCACTGAGATACATGATAACATAATGCTTTTTATTCCTCATGGGCAATGTATCATCCCTGTGGGTTAATTTTTTCATGATAAGGATTTACACTATTTAGTTTTATTTTAAACATTAAAATGTGCACCATTGTGTATTCTGTTACAGCTAGGCCTAACCAGATAATATAATAGTGGGATGCAAATAAAAAATTTGTGAAGCAGTAAAACAATTTCTTCATAAATGGTGTTTTTTAGACATAGCATATGTATCCTACTTTGGAACAAAGTAGAATGACTTGGAGAGTGTATAAATCTGTAGGGGAAGGAAGGTGGGGTAGGGGTCATCCCCGAAACGGTTGGAGGGAGGGGGTAAAGGAGGCTTTGTGGGCAAGGGGCTTGGACTTCCAGCAAGCGTGTGTGAGCGTGTTAGATAGGAGTGAATGGAGACGAATGGTTTTTGGGACCTGACAAGCTGTTGGAGTGTGAGCAGGGTAATATTTAGTGAAGAGATTCAGGGAAACCGGTTATTTTTGTATAGCCGGACTTGAGTCCTGGAACTGGGAAGTACAATGCCTGCACTTTAAAGGAGGGGTTTAGGATATTGGCAGTTTGGAGGGATATGTTGTGTATCTTTATATGTGTATGCTTCTAGACTGTTGTATTCTGAGCACCTCTGCAAAAACAGTGATAATGTGCGAGTGTGGTGAAAGTGTTGAATGATGATGAAAGAAAATCCCCCAAAAAAAAAATACTTTCATCATCATTCAACACTTTCACCACACTCGCACATTATCACTGTTTTTGCAGAGGTGCTCAGAATACAACAGTCTAGAAGCATACACATATAAAGATACACAACATATCCCTCCAAACTGCCAATATCCCAAACACCTCCTTTAAAGTGCAGGCATTGTACTTCCCATTTCCAGGACTCAAGTCCGACTATATGAAAATAACCGGTTTCCCTGAATCCCTTCACTAAATATTACCCTGCTCACACTCCAACAGATCGTCAGGTCCCAAGTACCATTCGTCTCCATTCACTCCTATCAAACACGCTCATACACGCCTGCTGGAAGTCCAAGCCCCTCGCCCACAAAACCTTCCTTACCCCTTCCTTCCAACCTTTTCGAGGACGACCCCTACCCCGCCTTCCTTCCCATACAGATTTATACGCTCTCCATGTCATTCTACTTTGATCCATTCTCTCTAAATGACCAAACCACCTCAACCATCCCTCTTCAGCCCTCTGACTAATACTTTTATTAACTCCACACCTTCTCCTAATTTCCACACTCCGAATTTTCTGCATAATATTTGCACCACACATTGCCCTTAGACAGGACATCTCCACTGCCTCCAACCGCCTCCTCACTGCTGCATTCACAACCTAAGCTTCACACCCATGTAAGAGCGTTGGTACTACTATACTTTCATACATTCCCTTCTTTGCCTCCGTAGATAACGTTTTTTGTCTCCCCATATACCTCAACACACCACTCGCCTTTTTTTTCCTCATCAATTCTATGATTAACCTCATCCTTCATAAATCCATCCGCCGACACGTCAACTCCCAAGTATCTGAAAACATTAATTTCTTCCATACTCCTCCTCCCCAATATAATATTCAATTTTTGTTTATCTAAATCATTTGATACCCTCATCGCCTTACTCTTTTCTATGTTCACTTTCAACTTTCTACCTTTACACACACTCCCAAACTCGTCCACTAACCTTTGCAGTTTTTCTTTATAATCTCCCATAAGCACAGTATCATCAGCAAAACGCAACTGTCAATTCCCATTTTGTATTTAATTCCCCATAATTTAATCCCACCCCTCTCCTGAACACCCTAGCATTTACTTCTTTTACAACCCCATCTATAAATATATTAAACAACCATGGTGACATTACACATCCCTGTCTAAGACCTACTTTTACTGGGAAATAGTCTCCCTCTCTTCTACACACCCTAACCTGAGCCTCACTATCCTCATAAAAACTCTTTACAGCATTTAGTAACTTACCACCTATTCCATATACATGTACTTGCAACATCTGCCACATTGCTCCCCTATCCAGTTTATCATATGCCTTTTCTAAATCCATAAATGCAATAAAAACTTCCCTACTGTTATCTAAATACTGTTCACATATATGCTTCAATGTAAACACTTGATCTACACATCCCCTACCCACTCTGAAACCTCCTTGCTCATCCGCAATCCTACATTCTGTCTTACCTCTAATTCTTTCAATTATAACCCTACCGTATACTTTTCCTGGTATACTCAGTAAACTTTTTTTTTTTTTTTTTATTATCACACCGGCCGATTCCCACCAAGGCAGGGTGGCCCGAAAAAGAAAAACTTTCACCATCATTCACTCCATCACTGTCTTGCCAGAAGGGTGCTTTACACTACAGTTTTTAAACTGCAACATTAACACCCCTCCTTCAGAGTGCAGGCACTGTACTTCCCATCTCCAGGACTCAAGTCCGGCCTGCCGGTTTCCCTGAATCCCTTCATAAATGTTACTTTGCTCACACTCCAACAGCACGTCAAGTATTAAAAACCATTTGTCTCCATTCACTCCTATCAAACACGCTCACGCATGCCTGCTGGAAGTCCAAGCCCCTCGCACACAAAACCTCCTTTACACCCCTCCCTCCAACCCTTCCTAGGCCGACCCCTACCCCGCCTTCCTTCCACTACAGACTGATACACTCTTGAAGTCATTCTGTTTCGCTCCATTCTCTCTACATGTCCGAACCACCTCAACAACCCTTCCTCAGCCCTCTGGACAACAGTTTTGGTAATCCCGCACCTCCTCCTAACTTCCAAACTACGAATTCTCTGCATTATATTCACACCACACATTGCCCTCAGACATGACATCTCCACTGCCTCCAGCCTTCTCCTCGCTGCAACATTCATCACCCACGCTTCACACCCATATAAGAGCGTTGGTAAAACTATACTCTCATACATTCCCTCTTTGCCTCCAAGGACAAAGTTCTTTGTCTCCACAGACTCCTAAGTGCACCACTCACTCTTTTTCCCTCATCAATTCTATGATTCACCTCATCTTTCATAACCCATCCGCTGACACGTCCACTCCCAAATATCTGAATACGTTCACCTCCTCCATACTCTCTCCCTCCAATCTGATATTCAATCTTTCATCACCTAATCTTTTTGTTATCCTCATAACCTTACTCTTTCCTGTATTCACCTTTAATTTTCTTCTTTTGCACACCCTACCAAATTCATCCACCAATCTCTGCAACTTCTCTTCAGAATCTCCCAAGAGCACAGTGTCATCAGCAAAGAGCAGCTGTGACAACTCCCACTTTGTGTGTGATTCTTTATCTTTTAACTCCACGCCTCTTGCCAAGACCCTCGCATTTACTTCTCTTACAACCCCATCTATAAATATATTAAACAACCACGGTGACATCACACATCCTTGTCTAAGGCCTACTTTTACTGGGAAAAAATTTCCCTCTTTCCTACATACTCTAACTTGAGCCTCACTATCCTCGTAAAAACTCTTCACTGCTTTCAGTAACCTACCTCTACACCATACACTTGCAACATCTGCCACATTGCCCCCCTATCCACCCTGTCATACGCCTTTTCCAAATCCATAAATGCACAAAGACCTCTTTAGCCTTATCTAAATACTGTTCACTTATATGTTTCACTGTAAACACCTGGTCCACACACCCCTACCTTTCCTAAAGCCTCCTTGTTCATCTGCTATCCTATTCTCCGTCTTACTCTTAAATTCTTTCAATTATAACTCTACCATACACTTTACCAGGTACACTCAACAGACTTATCCCCCTATAATTTTTTCACTCTCTTTTATCCCCTTTGCCTTTATACAAAGGAACTATGCATGCTCTCTGCCAATCCCTAGGTACCTTACCCTCTTCCATACATTTATTAAATAATTGCACCAACCACTCCAAAACTATATCCCCACCTGCTTTTAACATTTCTATCTTTATCCCATCAATCCCGGCTGCCTTACCCCCTTTCATTTTACCTACTGCCTCACGAACTTCCCCCACACTCACAACTGGCTCTTCCTCACTCCTACAAGATGTTATTCCTCCTTGCCCTATACACGAAATCACAGCTTCCCTATCTTCATCAACATTTAACAATTCCTCAAAATATTCCTTCCATCTTCCCAATACCTCTAACTCTCCATTTAATAACTCTCCTCTCCTATTTCTAACTGACAAATCCATTTGTTCTCTAGGCTTTCTAACTTGTTAATCTCACTCCAAAACTTTTTCTTATTTTCAACAAAATTTGTTGATAACATCTCACCCACTCTCTCTTTGCTCTCTTTTTACATTGCTTCACCACTCTCTTAACTTCTCTCTTTTTCTCCATATACTCCTTCCCTCCTTGCATCACTTCTACTTTGTAAAAAACTTCTCATATGCTAACTTTTTCTCCCTTACTACTCTCTTTACATCATCATTCCACCAATCGCTCCTCTTCCCTCCTGCACCCACTTTCCTGTAACCACAAACTTCTGCTGAACACTCTAACACTACATTTTTAAACCTACCCCATACCTCTTCGACCCATTGCCTATGCTCTCATTAGCCCATCTATCCTCCAATAGCTGTTTATATCTTACCCTAACTGCCTCCTCTTTTAGTTTATAAACCTTCACCTCTCTCTTCCCTGATGCTTCTATTTCCTTGTATCCCATCTACCTTTTACTCTCAGTGTAGCTACAACTAGAAAGTGATCTGATATATCTGTGGCCCCTCTATAAACATGTACATCCTGAAGTCTACTCAACAGTCTTTTATCTACCAATACATAATCCAACAAACTACTGTCATTTCGCCCTACATCATATCGTGTATACTTATTTATCCTCTTTTTCTTAAAATATGTATTACCTATAACTAAACCCCTTTCTATACAAAGTTCAATCAAAGGGCTCCCATTATCATTTACACCTGGCACCCCAAACTTACCTACCACACCCTCTCTAAAAGTTTCTCCTACTTTAGCATTCAAGTCCCCTACCACAATTACTCTCTCACTTGGTTCAAAGGCTCCTATACATTCACTTAACATCTCCCAAAATCTCTCTCTCTCCTCTGCATTCCTCTCTTCTCCAGGTGCATACACGCTTATTATGACCCACTTCTCGCATCCAACCTTTACTTTAATCCACATAATTCTTGAATTATGTAAACTTATAACTCTATAATTTTTACAATCTCTTTTGCCCCCCTTCCCTTTATATAAAGGGACTATACATGCTCTCTGCCAATCCCTAGGTACCTTCCCCTCTTTCATACATTTATTAAACAAAAATACCAACCACTCCAACATTATATCCCCCCCCCCCCTGCTTTTAACATTTCTGTCATGATCCCGTCGGTTCCAGCTGCTTTACTCCCTTTCATTCTATATAATGCCTCACGCACCTCCCCCACACTCACATCCTGTTCTTCACTCCTCAAAGATGGTATACCTCCCTGGCCAGTGCATGAAATTACCGCTTCCCTTTCTTCGTGGACATTTAAAAGTTCCTCAAAATATTCTCGCCGTCTACCCAAAACCTCCATCTCCCCATCTACTAACTTTCCTACTCTGTTTATAACTTTCTTAACTTGTTTAACTCCAAAAATTTTTCTTATTTTCATTAAAATGCCTTGACAGTGCCTCTCCCACTCTATCATCTGCTCTCCTTTTGCACTCTCTCACCACTCTCTTCACCTTTCTTTTACTCTCTATATACCCTACTCCTCTTATAACACTTCTGCTTTGTAAAAGCCTCTCATAAGCTAACTTTTTCTCTTTTATCACACCCTTTACTTCATCATTCCACCAATCACTCCTCTTTCCTCCTGCACCCACCCTCCTGTAACCACAAACTTCTGCCCCACATTCTATTACTGCATTTTTAAAACTATTCCAACCCTCTTCAACTCCCCCACTACTCATACTTGCACCAGCCCACCTTTCTGCCAATAGTTGATTATATCTCGCCCGAACTTCCTCCTCCCTTAGTTTATACACTTTCACCTCCCTCTTGCTTGTTGTTGCCATTTTCCTCTTTTTCCCATCTACCTCTTACTCTAACTGTAGCTACAACTAAATAATGATTTGATATATCAGTTGCCCCTCTATAAACGTGTACATCCTGGAGCCTACCTATCAACCTTTTATCCACCAATACATAATCTAACAAACTGCTTTCATTACGTGCTATATCATAGCTTGTATATTTATCCTCTTCTTCATAAAATATTTATTACTTATTACCAAACCTCTTTCTACACATAGCTCAAAGGCTCCCCATTTTCATTTACCCCTGGCACCCCAAATTTACCTACTACTCCCTCCACAACATTTTTACCCACTTTAGCATTGAAAATCCCCAACCACCATTACTCTCACTCTTGGTTCAAAACTCCCCACGCATTCACTCAACATTTCCCAAAATCTCTCTCTCCTCTACACTTCTTTCTTCTCCAGGTGCACATTCGCTTACTACAACCCACTTTTCACATCCAACCTTTATTTTACTCCACATAATCCTTGAATTAATACATTTATAGTCCCTCTTTTCCTGCCATAACTTATCCTTCAACATTATTGCTACTCCTTCTTTAGCTCTAACTCTATTTGAAGCCCCTGACCTAATCCCATTTGTTCCTCTTCACTGAAACTCTCCCACCCCCTTCAGCTTTGTTTCACTTAAAGCCAGGACATCCCGCTTCTTCTCATTCATAACATCCACAATCACCTCTCTCTTATCATTTGTACAACATCCACGCACATTCAGACTTCCCACTTTGACAATTTTCTTCTTATTCTTTTTAGTAATTATTACAGGAAAAGGGGTTACTAGCCCATTGTTCCCGGCATTTTAGTTGACTCTTACAACATGCATGGCTTACGGAGGAAAGATTCTTATTCCACTTCCCCATGGATATAAAAGGAAAAGTAATAAGACCAAGAACTATTAAGATAAAAATCAAAGAAAACCCAGATGAGTGTGTATAAATAAACATGTACATGTATGTGTAGTGTGACCTAAGTGTAAGTAGAAGTAGCAAGACGTACCTGTAATCTTGCATATTTATGAGACAGACAAAAGACACCAGCAATCCTACCATCATGTAAAACAATTACAGGCTTTCATTTCACACTCACTTGGCAGGACGGTAGTACCCCCCTGGGTGGTTACTGTCTACCAACCTACTACCTAATGAGATATAATTAGATATTGCATTGACAGAACTGTAGGTATGCTCAATGTTGAGTGTTAGATGAAAGCTGGCTTTCTGTACAATTTTCATGTCAATTTGTACTGTTTGAATAAAAAAAATTAATTTACAATATGATTTTTTGGTTGAATCTTTACAGCACCTGGCTCCTTCTTCAGTTGATCTCATGGTTGTGGCAAATCTACTGTTGGACCCAGCAGATGTTCATGTCCTACCACACACTGCTGTACTGTACACAGTCTTCCAGATCAAACAAGGACATCTTTCTGTCATTGATTTACCAGCATCACAGTTTTACTTGCAAGTGTGTAATTCCTTAAGTATTTTTGTAAATATAATTTGCAACTGATATATCGTATCATTATTTAGTTGTAGCTACAGTTAGAGTAAGAGGTAGATGGAACAAGAGGAAAATGGTAACAACAAGTAAGAGAGAGGTGAAAGTGTATAAACTAAGGGAGGAGGAAGTTTGGGTGAGATATATGAAACTATTGGCAGAAAGGTGGGCTAGTGCAAGTGTGAGTAGTGGGGGGGGGGGGGTTGAAGAGGGTTGGAATAGTTTTAAAAATGCAGTATTAGAATGTGGGGCAGAAGTTTGTGGCTATAGGAGGGTGGGTGCAGTAGGAAAGAGGAGTGATTGGGGGAATGATGAAGTAAAGGGTGTGATAAAAGAGAAAAAGGTAGCTTATGAGAGGTTTTTACAAAGCAGAAGTGTTATAAGAAGAGCAGAATGTATGGAGAGTAAAAGAAAGGTGAAGACAGTGGTGAGAGAGTGCAAAAGGAGAACAGATGATAAAGTGGGAGAGGCACTGTCAAGAAATTTGATGAAAAGAAGAAAAAATTTTGGAGCGAGTTAAACAAGTTAAGCAAGCCTAGGGAACAAATGGATTTGTCAGTTAAAAACAAGAGTAGGGGAGTTAGTAGATGGGGAGCTGGAGGTATTGGGTAGATGGCGGGAATATTTTGAGAAACTTTTAAATGCCGACGAAGAAAAGGAGGCGGTAATTTCGTGCATTGGCCAGGGAAGTATACCATCTTTCAGGAGTGAAGAAGAGCAGGATGTGAGTGGGGGGGGAGGTGCATGAGGCATTACGTAGAATGAAAGGGGGTAAAGCAGCTGGATAACAAATGTATGAAAGAGGGGAAGGTACCTAGGGATTGGCAGAGAGCATGTATAGTTCCTTTATATAAAGGGAAGAGGGACAAAAGAGATTGTAAAAATTATAAAGGAATTAGTTTACTGATGTAGGGTGAAATGACAGTAGTTTGTTGGATTATGTATAGGTAGATAAAAGACTGTTGAGTAGACTTCAGGATGTACATGTTTATAGAGGGGCCACAGATATATCAGATCACTTTTTAGTTGTAGCTACACTGAGAGTAAAGGGTAGATGGGATGCAAGGAGAATAGAAGCATCAGGGAAGAGAGAGGTGAAGGTTTACAAACTAAAAGAGGAGGCAGTTAGGGTAAGATATAAACAGCTATTGGAGGATAGATGGGCTAATGAGAGCATAGGCAGTGGGGTTGAAGATGTATGGGGTAGGTTTCGGAAAGTAGTGTTAGTGTTCAGCATAACTTGTGGTTACAGGAAAGTGGGTGCGGGAGGGAAGAGGAGCGATTGGTGGAATGATGTAAAGAGAGTAGTAAGGGAGAAAAAGTTAGCATATGAGAAGTTTTTACAAAGTAGAAGTGATGCAAGGAGGGAAGAGTATATGGAGAAAGAGAGAGGTTAAAAGAGTGGTGAAGCAATGTAAAAAGAGAGCAAATGAGAGAGTGGGTGAGATGTTATCAACAAATTTTGTTGAAAATAAGAAAAAGTTTTGGAGTGAGATTAACAAGTTAATCAAGCCTAGAGAACAAATGGATTTGTCAGTTAAAAATAGGAGAGGAGAGTTATTAAATGGAGAGTTAGAGGTATTGGGAAGATGGAGGGAATATTTTGAGGAATTGTTAAATGTTGATGAAGATAGGGAAGCTGTGATTTCGTGTATAGGGCAAGGAGGAATAACATCTTGTAGGAGTGAGGAAGAGCCAGTTGTGAGTGTGGGGGAAGTTCGTGAGGCAGTAGGTAAAAATGAAAGGGGGTAAGGCAGCCGGGATTGATGGGATAAAGATATAAATGTTTAAAAGCAGGTGGGGATATAGTTTTGGAGTGGTTGGTGCAATTATTTAATAAATATATGGAAGAGGGTAAGGTACCTAGGGATTGCAGAGAGCATGCATAGTTCCTTTGTATAAAGGCAAAGGGGACAAAAGAGAGTGCAAAAATTATAGGGGGATAAGTCTGTTGAGTATACCTGGTAAAGTGTATGGTAGAGTTATTATTGAAAGAATTAAGAGTAAGACGGAGAATAGGATAGCAGATGAACAAGGAGGCTTTAGGAAAGGTAGGGGTGTGTGGACCAGGTGTTTACAGTGAAACATGTAAGTGAACAGTATTTAGATAAGGCTAAAGAGTTTTTTGTGGCATTTATGGATTTGGAAAAGGCGTATGACAGGGTGGATAGGGGGGCAATGTGGCAGATGTTGCAGGTGTATGGTGTAGGAGGTAGGTTACTGAAAGCAGTGAAAAGTTTTTACGAGAATAGTGAGGCTCAAGTTAGAGTATGTAGGAAAGAGTGAGATTATTTCCCAGTAAAAGTAAGCCTTAGACAAGGATGTGTGATGTCACCGTGGTTGTTTAATATATTTATAGATGGGGTTGTAAGAGAAGTAAATGAGAGGGTCTTGGCAAGAGGCATGGAGTTAAAAGATAAAGAATCACACAAAGTGGGAGTTGTCACAGTTGCTCTTTGCTGATGACTCTGTGCTCTTGGGAGATTCTGAAGAGAAGTTGCAGTGGTTGGTGGATGAATTTGGTAGGGTATGCAAAAGAAGAAAATTGAAAGTGAATACATGAAAGAGTAAGTTTATGAGGATAACAAAAAGATTAGGTGATGAAAGATTGGATATGAGATTGGAGGGAGAGAGTATGGAGGAGGTGAATGTATTCAGATATTTGGGAGTGGACGTGTCAGCGGATGGGTCTGAAAGATGAGGTGAATCATAGAATTGATGAGGGGAAAAGGGTGAGCGGTGCACTTAGGAGTCTGTGGAGACAAAGAACTTTGTCCTTGGAGGCAAAGAGGGGAATGTATGAGAGTATAGTTTTACCAACGCTCTTATATGGGTGTGAAGCATGGGTGATGAATGTTGCAGCGAGGAGAAGGCTGGAGGCAGTGGAGATGTCATGTCTGAGAGCAATGTGTGGTGTGAATATAATGCAGAGAATTTGTAGTTTGGAAGTTAGGAGGAGGTGCGGGATTACCAAAACTGTTGTCTAGAGGGCTGAGGAAGGGTTGTTGAGGTGGTTCGGACATGTAGAGAGAAGGGAGCGAAACAGAATGACTTCAAGAGTGTATCAGTCTGTAGTGGAAGGAAGGCAGGGTAGGGGTCGGTCTAGGAAAGGTTGGAGGGAGGGGGTAAAGGAGGTTTTGTGTGCGAGGGGCTTGGACTTCTAGCAGGCATGCGTGAGCATGTTTGATAGGAGTGAATGGAGACAAATGGTTTTTAATACTTGACGTGCTGTTGGAGTGTGAGCAAAGTAACATTTATGAAGGGATTCAGGGAAACCGGCAGGCCAGGCTTGAGTCCTGGAAATGGGAAGTACAGTGCCTGCACTCTGAAGGAGGGGTGTTAATGTTGCAATTTAAAAACTGTAGTGTAAAGCACCCTTCTGGCAAGACAGTGATGGAGCGAATGATGGTGAAAGTTTTTCTTTTTCGGGCCACCCTGCCTTGGTGGGAATCGGCCAGTGTGTTAATATGTTAATAAGTTTACTGAGTATACCAGGAAATGCGTATGGTAGGGTTATTATTGAAAGAATTAGAGGCAAGACAGAATGTAGGATTGCGGATGAGCAAGGAGATTTAAGAGTGGGTAAGGGAAGTATAGGTCAAGTGTTTATATTGAAGCATATATGTGAACAGTATTTAGATAAAGGTAGAGAAGTTTTCATTGCATTTATGGATTTAGAAAAGGCATATGATAGAGTGGATAGGGGAGCAATGTGGCAGATGTTGTAAGTACAGTGGACCCTTGACCAACGCTGGCATCGTATAACGTTAAATCCAACTAGCGATACATTTTAACGCAAAAAATTTGCCTCGACTAGCGCTAAAAAACTCGACCAACGCGATTCATTCTGTTCGAGACACATCCATTTGTGGCCTGAGCGCGCCTTACTTGTCCCGTGGGTGCCAGTGTTTACAAGCCAACCAGCCACCGCGGTCCCATCCAAACATACAATTGGAACATTTCATATTATCCCAGCATTTTTAGTGATTGCACCTGCAAAATAAGTCACCATGGGCCCCAAGAAAGCTTCTAGTGCCAACCCTACAGCAAAAAGGGTGAGAATTACTATGGATATGAAGAAAGAGATCATTGCTCAGTATGAAAGTGGAATGCGTGTCTCCGAGCTGGCCAGGTTGTACACAAAACTCCAAGAGTTGGTGGAGGAGGATAAATGATGAACTAACCACTGATGAGCTGCAAGATCATCTTCAACAGCAAGAGGCCAGACCTGAGGAAACTACTCCGGAGGAGGGGATAGAGAAATTGAGGAAGTTGCCTACTTCAAAGTTTAAGGAAATGTGTGCAATGTGGCTTAAAGTGCAAACCTTTTTTGATAAAAATCACCCTCACACAGCTACTGCAAGCTGTGTTGGCAGGCAGTACACTGACAATGTTGTGAAACACTTTAGGAATGTCATAAAGGAACAGGAGGTACAGGCCTCTATGTTGTGCGACAGAGGTCCAGTGACTCTCAAGCTGGTCCTAGTGGCATTAAAAGAAGGGAAGTAACCCCGGAAAAGGACTTGACACCTCAAGTCCTAATGGAAGGGGATTCCCCTTCTTAACACTAACATCATCCACACACTCCCCTCCCATCCCATCATCATCACCAGATCTTCAATAAAGGTAAGTGTCATGTAATTGTACATGTCTTCTTCGGTTTGTGTGTATTAAAATTAATATTTCATGTGGTAAAAAAAATTTTGTTCAATACTTTGGGGTGCCAGGAATGGATTAATTTGATTTCCATTATATGGGGAAAATTAACTCGACTAACGATAAGCTCTCAGGAACGGATTAATATCGTTGGTCGAGGGTCCACTGTATATGGAATAGGTAGTAAGTTGCTAAATGTTGTAAAGAGTTTTTATAGGATAGTGAAGCTCAGGTTAGGGTGTGTAGAAGAGAGGGAGATTACTTCCCAGTAAAAGTAGGTCTTAGACAGGGATGTGTAATGTCACCATGGTTGTTTAATGTATTTATAGATGGGGTTGTAGAAGAAGTAAATGCTAGGGTGTTGGGGAGAGGGGTGGGATTAAATTATGGGGAATCAAATACAAAATGGGAATTGACAGTTACTTTTTGCTGATGATACTGTGCTTATGGGGGATTCTAAAGAAAATAACAAAAAAGGCACAATACCGAAACGTCTCCGTAAGCTTCTCTCTTTTATGTGCGGGTTATTTGTGTATTCTAAAGAAAAATTGCAAAGGTTAGTGGACAAATTTGGGAGAGTGTAAAGGTAAAAAGTTGAAAGTGAACATGGAAAAGAGTAAGGTGATAAGGGTATCAAATGATTTAGATAAAGAAAAATTGGATATCAAATTGGAGAGTAGTAGTATGGAAGAAGTGAATGTTTTCAGATATTTGGGAGTTGACGTGTCAGCGGAGGGATTTATGAAGGATGAGGTTAACTTTAGAATTGATGAAGGAAAAGAGGTGAGTGGTGTGTTGAGGTATATGTGGAGACAAAAAACGTTATTTATGGACGCAAAGAAGGGAATGTATGAAAGTATATTGGTACCAACACTTATATGGGTGTGCAGCTTGGGTTGTAAATGCTGCAGTGAGGAGACAGTTGGAGGCAGTGGAGATGTCCTGTCTAAGGGCAATATGTGGTGTAAATATTATGCAGAAATTTCCGAGTGTGGAAATTAGGAGATGGTGTGGAGTTAATAAAAGTATTAGTCAGAGGGATTGTTGAGGTGGTTTGCTCATTTAGAGAGAATGGATCAAAGTAGAATGACATGGAGAGTGTATAAATCTGTAGGGGAAGGAAGGCGGGGTAGGGGTTGTCCTCGAAAAGTTTGGAGGGAGGGGGTAAAGGAGGTTTCATGGGCGAGGGGCTTGGACTTCCAGCAAGCATGCGTGAGCGTGTGAGATAGGAGTGAATGGAGACGAATGGTATTTGGGACATGAGGAGCTGTTGGAGTGTGAGCAGGGTAATACTTAGTGAAGGGATTCAGGGAAACCGGTTATTTTTATATAGCCTGACTTGAGTCCTGGAAATGGGAAGTACAATGCCTGCACTTTAAAGGAGGGGTTTGGGATATTAGCAGTTTGGAGGGATACGTTGTGTATCTTTATAAGGTGTATGTTTCTAAACTGTTGTATTCTAAGCACTTCTGCAAAAACTGTGATTGTGTGAGTGAGGTGAGTGTTGAATGATGATGAAAGTATTTTTGTTTTGGAGATTTTCTTTCTTTTTGGGTCACCCTGCCTCAGTGGGAGATGGCCAACCTGTTTAAAATATATATATATATATATATATATATATATATATATATATATATATATATTATATATATATATATATATATATCACACACACACACACACACACACTACCTGGTATATGCTACTGTTCTTGTCACATGCTTCTGAAGATATGTAGTTGATCACGCAAGCACTCAAGCATTCAGTATACCTGTGCAAGGTGTCCACAAAGTTGTGCATCATAGGAAAACCATATTTATTTGTAAAGATGGCTACATCAGTTTTTCAAAAGTGCATCTCAGTACAGTAGGACCCCACTTATATGGCGGGTTAGGTTTCAAGAAGTCGCCGGAAAGCAGACATCGCCGGAAGGCAGAATGCTATTTTTTCCATTTATAATTGCATATAAATGCCAGACAACAAATTTACACTAAATTATATTAAGTTAGTAATAGAACTAGGCATTAAAAACACACAAAGTAAAATACATTCACAGTACATTCATTACTTATCTTGAAGTATTTGTAATCTTAATGTAGGGAGAGAGGTGAATAGTACTTATTTGTAGGAAGTCAGGTGTAGGTAGCCCTGGCTTCCCGTCTCATACTTAATATACGATATTTAAAACATCCCAGAGAGTTAAAATACTCATACACTACACTCATTATTTACCTTAAAATATGTGTAGTCTTAATATAGGAAGAGAGGTGAGTAGTATTTATTTGTAGGAAGTCAGTGTAGGTAGCCGGTAGGTATAGCCTGCCTGTGCTTCACGAGTAGTATTTATTTGTAGGAAGTCAGTGTAGGTAGCCGGTAGGTGTAGCCTGCCTGTGCTTCACCTACCGGCTACCTACACTGTGGCCCAGAGCCATATTATTAGCATTTACATACCTTGTTCACTGAATTTAATCGTTTCTAACAACTACCTTTAGATGCCATCATAAACGAAGGGAGAAGTAATGAATAATTCATGCCGAAAATTGTGAACAAAAGCGGAGTGAGGGAGTGGCTGGGCCAAACGCAGATTCATACACGTTTTCTCTGATGGCTGAGCAAAGAAAACATGATGTTGTCCCTCCGGCCGGCTACCACACAGGTCCACAAGTATATTATTATCAGAGTACGTACGTGTAAAATATGCAATAAATGCCAGACAACAAGTTTACACTAACTAATATTAAGTTAGCAATAGAAATAGGCATTAAAAATACAACAAAAAGGTAAGATACACACAGAGTACACTTATTACTTGCCTTAAAATATTAATAATATGTGAGAGGTGAGTGGCAGGGTGTTTATTGAATAAAAGCAGAATGGCACACCATCCTCCTCTAACTTGGTACTTAAAGCAAGAGGCTTACGACTTCTCTTTTTATCACAGCTAAGCTTAGACGCCATCGTCAATGAGAGCCAACTAGTTAACGAAAGAGTAAACGAGAGAGAGAACGAGATACAGAGTTCAGACAATGTAAGAATACAAACTGAACAGGTAGTGGGCGATCACTTGGTCAGGCAAAATAAATGCATATTAATATGTGTCTACTTTTAGTTCATTCACATACGTTTGTAAGAGTTTGTAAAACATCTACCTCAATATTTTTATTATAATAATAATTAGTTCACAATACAAATACTCTTACATTGTGTACAAGTTGTACAAGTTAGTACAGAATAACCAAACAGCAACACACCATTTTTAGAGTGAATGAAGATATTATTATTATTATTATTATTATTATTATTATTATTATTATTATTATCATAATAAAAAGCACTAAACCCACAAGGGTCGTGAATTGCTATATATAGAGTGAAGGCATACAAAAAGAATATTTTTCTACAGTTATCCCCCAGTTTGACTAGAGAAAACGTAATTCTTCCGACACTACCTACTCAGCCTCTTTGTAAACAAATCTCATTTTTACATCAATTTTTATTGTGTGTGTATGTATCATGTTTATATGTTATGTAACAGGTTTCATATATAATTTTGAGGACAATATCATATTGATTAATGAAAATGCCTATATTAACCCCTTCAGAGTCCAAGGCCAAAATCTGAAGTGGTGCCCCAGTGTCCAAGAATTTAAAAAAAAAAAAATAGTTATTTTTTCTTATGAAATGCTCGAGAATCTTTTTGTGAAGGTAATAAAACAAAAAGTACGAAATTTCATGGAAAATTGACGAAATTATGCTCTCGCGAATTTTTATGTGTCAGTGATATTTATGAATCGGCGATTTTGCTGACTTTGGCTCCCATTTTAGGCCAATTACGTTACTCCAGTTGACCAAATTCTTAACTATTTCACTAGTATTACTTCTATTCTATCGATTGAGCACAAGAAATCGCCAAGTTAACTGTTTCGACTACAAAATAAAGTGATCGGAAGTTGGTAATTTGGCCAATTTAACACAAAGTTCAAAATATTCCAATTTCAAAATAGGGTCCAGAATAAACAATGTAGGTATTCCTGGCACTAAACTAATATTTCCTCTGTTCATTAGTTACATTTTGAGGCTTTACAAATAGATTCCATTTTTATTTTTTATTCACATAATGAATTTTTATTCACACCAAAAAATAAAAGATTTACTGTTATGCAATATTGTAATAATTGTATAAATATCATCACGACATTTGTGAATGTATATTAGACCCACCAGCTGGCGTGTATTAGACGTGTGAGATCGTTTGTTTACTCTTGAACTTCAGCAAAAATTTAACATTTCCGCTACTTTGAGCTGTTTCAAGCCATTTCCAGTGCTAAAACCAATCAAAATCATCTCTATTTCTGTAATATGTCTTCCATTCTATCAAATGAGACCAAGAAATCGCAAATACAACTATAAAAAACTACGAAAAAACACTGCAAAGTCGCTGTTTTAATCGAAAAATCATGGTCTCAGTTTTTTTTCTCTCATTATACACAGTGTGCTGCAGGATTTGTTTTATGTGGTGGACACATACCACATAGATGTATTCTCTCATATCAAGGTCCAAATGTACCACTCACAGTTTATCAGAGTGAGCTGAGCTCATGACGTAGATCTACGGTTTGGACCCTGAACGTAAAGCCGTAGATCTACGGGACGGACCCTGAAAGGGTTAATGTAAAATAAAACATTCAGTGTGCCCAAGAGTGATTATTATTATGTAGTATTGGCTTCATGAGTAGAGACTTAGCGATTTTAATGTGTACCTGCACACCAGCATAGTGTGCAAGTATATTTAGGTACAGGTACACATAAGTATAATTATCAGAGTACATATAAAATATGCAGTAACTTTAAAACACTTGAAATTTTGGAAAGTTTCCTGATATAATAGATGTGGTCACGAAAAAGTAAACAAACCTGGTGGGGTGCGCTGTATTTGAATAGCAAATTTTGGTCATAATTTGACATTGCCGTATTAGCAGAACACCGTAAGGCGAGATGCCGTAAAGTGAGGCCCTACTGTAATCTTGAAACATGAATTGTTTACATCGTACAATAAGATACATAAGACTTAAACACATTGTAATAATAGTATATTCCGTAGGTGGTTGTAAAGCTTTACTTTATTCTGTAAGTGCTTGTACTGAAGCCTGAAATAATCTTTCTTCTCTCCTGTTTTGCAATAGGTTGCAGATACAGAAATTGCAGAGCTCAACACAGATGGCATCAGCATCACAGCTAAGAATCTTGGCACAACTCGGGTAAATACTGACCGTCTCTGTCCTGCTTATGATTTGCTTTCTAGAATTTTCATCTCTGAACCAATGCTTTTGGTGTATATTTTAGTCTTGCAGTAAAGCAAGTTTCATAAATGTTATCTGAGTAAAGACTAAGAAATAAAAAGTATGTACTTTAGTATTGTAAATGGTATCGCTCGTATTTGAATTATTAAATGCATTTATTTCAACAGGTGATTTTGAAGGACAACAATGTTGTCTCCGAGCTGGTAAAGCAACCTACAGCCACAATACATGTGGTAGATCCATCGTATCTTATCATCTCTATTGAGCCCCATAACAACCCAGCACTTACTCGTGGAAAGCATTATGCTGTTATTGTCAACGTTTTTGATAAACAGGACAATAAAATCCATTTAGCTGAGGTAAGATTTTGTTCAGATTATTTTAGTATATAGATATGCCTCAAGAAGACTATTTTTATTTAATTTGTAAAAACTTAAGTTCTAATTAAGGGAGTATGTTCGGGAATATTTGTTGCAAAAAAAAAAATCAGAAATGAGGATCATGATATCAGTGTTTGTTAATCATTACTGCACACCTCTAGTATATAAGACTGCATGGAGAATAGTAATCTATTTGCCAGAACCAAAGATGAACACTAAACAATTTTCCTCATTAGGTTTCATTTAGTGCTGTTAATTCTATTAAGATTATGTATTTTACTTTCTGCAGAATGTTGTGATTGAAACTACAATTCAGTCTGAGTACTTTGCCTCTGAATTTGTCTCCAAAAATGGATCCTATGTGTATGGTGTACCTATCAAAACAGGAAAGACCAAAGTTCAGGTATGTTTGTCTCATAGTTTTAGAAGTATTTTAAACTTAATGAAAGGTTAAGTTTAGTTCCAAAAAATCTCTCTCAAGGTTATCGGTGTTATTTCAGTACCCCTCAAGGTGAGTACCTTGCTGCTGATGGATTCTTGATTAAATATTCATTTCTTTATTTTACATGCTCTTCCAAATTTTTCCACCAACCTTTGCAACATTTCTTCAGAATTTCCCAAAAGCACAGTGTCATTGATATAAAGCAACTGTGACAATTCTAATCTACTACCATTATTATTATTGTTCTTTTCTTTCAACAAACTGGCCGTATCCCACCAAGGCAGGGTTACTGGCCTCTTGCTCCCGGCATTTTAGTCGCCTCCTACGGCACACTTGGCTTACAGAGGAAGAATTCTTTTCACTTCCCCATGGAGATAGGAGGATATAAATAAAATCAAGAAATAGTAAGAAAATAGAAGAAAACTCAGAGGGGTGGGCATGTATGTGTGTGTGTGTGTGTATATGCTTGTACATGCAAGTGTAGTGTGACCTAAGTGTAAGTAGAAGTAGCAAGACATACCTGAAATCTTGCATGTTTCTTCTTTCAACATACCAGCCGTATCCCACTGAGGCAGGGTGGCCCAAAAGAAAAAACTAAAGTTTCTCCTTTTAAATTTAGTAATATATACGGGAGAAGGGGTTACTAGCCCCTTGCTCCTGGCATTTTAGTCGCCTCTTACGACACGCATGGCTTAGAGGAAGAATTCTGTTCCACTTCCCCATGGAGATAAGAGGAAATAAACAAGAAGAATAATTAGAAAGACAATAGAAGAAAACCCAGAGGGGTATGTATATATATGCTTGTTAGGTAAGACACATATGCAACAGTTAGGTATCTTTATTGTGAAACGTTTCGCCTACACAGTAGGCTTCTTCAGTCAAGTACAGAAAAGTTGATAGAAGCAGAAGATACTTGAAGACGATGTAATCAGTCCATCACCCTTAAAGTTTTGAGGTGGTCAGTCCCTCAGTCTGGAGAAGAGCATTGTTCCATAGTATGAAACAATATGGAGAAGAAGTGACAGGATGGAGCTTTTTATAGCGCCAAGAGGTGAGACGTAGGCCACTAGGAGAGGTAAGAACTCAGATGTTGAGAAGTCAGGTCCTCTCAGGGAGGGGACCTGACTTCTCAACATCTGAGTTCTTACCTCTCCTAGTGGCCTACGTCTCACCTCTTGGCGCTATAAAAAGCTCCATCCTGTCACTTCTTCTCCATATTGTTTCATACTATGGAACAATGCTCTTCTCCAGACTGAGGGACTGACCACCTCAAAACTTTAAGGGTGATGGACTGATTACATCGTCTTCAAGTATCTTCTGCTTCTATCAACTTTTCTGTACTTGACTGAAGAAGCCTACTGTGTAGGCGAAACGTTTCACAATAAAGATACCTAACTGTTGCATATGTGTCTTACCTAACAACCTGTCGGTATTTTATACCATTTTAATGTTCATATATATGCTTGTACATGTATGTGTAGTGTGACCTAAGTGTAAGTAGAAGTAGCAAGACGTACCTGTAATCTTGCATATTGATGAGACAGACAAAAGACGCCAGCAATCCTACCATCGTGTAAAACAATTACAGGCTTTCGTTTTACACTCACTTGGCAGGACGGTAGTACCTCCCTGGGCGGTTGCTGTCTACCAACCTACTACCTACATGGAGAATTATTTATGATTTCAGCAGTTTGATTACCACACATAAAGTGGGAGTTGTCACAGTTGCTCTTTGCTGATGACACTGTGCTCTTGGGAGATTCTGAAGAGAAGTTGCAGAGGTTGGTGGATGAATTTGGTAGGGTACGCAAAAGAAGAAAATTAAAAGTGAATACAGGAAAGAGTAAGTTTATGAGGATAACAAAAAGATTAGGTGATAAAAGATTGGATATCAGATTGGAGGGAGAGAGTATGGAGGAGGTGAATGTATTCAGATATTTGGGAGTGGACGTGTCAGCGGATGGGTCTATGAAAGTTGAGGTGAAACATAGAATTGATGAGGGGAAAAGGGTGAGCAGTGCACTTAGGAGTCTGTGGAGACAAAGAACTTTGTCCTTGGAGGCAAAGAGGGGAATGTATGAGAGTACAGTTTTACCAACGCTCTTATATGGGTGTGAAGCATGGGTGATGAATGTTGCAGCGAGGAGAAGGCTGGAGGCAGTGGAGATGTCATGTCTGAGGGCAATGTGTGGTGTGAATATAATGCAGAGAATTCATAGTTTGGAAGTTAGGAGGAGGTGCGGGATTACCAAAACTGTTGTCCAGAGGGCTGAGGAAGGGTTGTTGAGGTGGTTTGGACATGTAGAGAGAATGGAGCGAAACAGAATGACTTCGAGTGTATCAGTCTGTAGTGGAAGGAAGGCGGGGTAGGGGTCGGCCTAGGAAAGGTTGGAGGGAGGGGGTAAAGGAGGTTTTGTGTGCGAGGGGCTTGGACTTCCAGCAGGCATATGTGAGCATGTTTGATAGGAGTGAATGGAGACAAATGGTTTTTAATACTTGACATGCTGTTGGAGTGTGAGCAAAGTAACATTTATGAAGGGATTCAGGGAAACCGGCAGGCCAGACTTGAGTCCTGGAGATGGGAAGTACAGTGCCTGCACTCTGAAGGAGGGGTGTTAATGTTGCAGTTTAAAAACTGTAGTGTAAAGCACCCTTCTGGCAAGACAGTGATGGAGTGAATGATGGTGAAAGTTTTTCTTTTTCGGGCCACCCTGCCTTGGTGGGAATCGGCCAGTGTGTTAATAAAATAAATAATAAATATTTTATTTCCACAATATACTGAAAAAAAATTTCTTTCAACATACTGGCCATCTCCCACTGAGGCAGCCCCCCCTCCCCCCCCAAAAAAAAACTATAAAGTTTTCTTTTTTATTATTATTTAGGAATTTATATAGGAGATGGGGTTATTAGCCCTTTGCTCCTGGCATTTTAGTTGCCTTTTACAACATTCATCACATATTATTTTTATTGCTAAAATTAGAAATTATAAAATTAAATACTGTAATATATAATATTTATATTTCAGGCTGTTCTATTGGCAATACAAGTAGATGACAAGATTTTGGAAATTACTCCAGCTCTGAAGACCAGCCAAGAGATAGAAATATTTGACCCTGTCAAAGTCATTCCACCACTAACAATTTTGCCATGGGATCCAATAACAAAGCCAGTATACAGTTTCAATCTAACAGTAAGTTCTACCTTAATTAATTTGAATCTATCTTCTTAAAATTTTGTTAAATCTATCATCTATAAGTTTTGCTCTGTTTGTAGGCTTCTCACAAATTTCCATGTTTTTATATTTCAAAAATCCCAACAGAAGGTGTCCTCATAGTAAGAAAACCTGTGAATGGCACACTCTCAATACAGCCTCTCCTCACTTAATGAGAGAGTTACATTCCTAAGACCACATTGGCAGACAAATTTATCGCTAAGCAAGGAGCATACTGTAATGGTAGTGGGTTTGTGTCATCCTTGATATTGTTTTAATGTCACCTTTGCACCATTTATAACATTTTTATTATATTTTTAAATGTTTATACAGTAGTTTACTGTATATTGTAATAAACAGAATAGAGGAAATCACCTCTGATATACATTAGTTAGGTATGCATACTGGTCAGAGAGCCCTTTGTAAGTCCGAGTCATCGGTAAACAAATACGTCGCTAAGTGAGGAGAGGCTGTATTGAGATATTTCTCTTAGGTGAAACCTGTATTTAATAATAAAAAAGTGCAGCCAAATTGTTTTTAATCATCAAGTAAGAGAAAGGTGAAAGTGTATGAATTATGGGAGGAAGAAGTTCTGGTGAAATATAAGCAATTATTGGCAAAAAGGTGGATTGGTGCAAATATGAGTAGTGGGGGTGTTGAAGAAGGTTGAAATGGTTTTAAAATTGCAGTATTAGAATGTGGAGCAGAAATTTGTGGCTAATAGGAATATGGGTGCAAGAGGAAAGAGAAGTGATTGGTGGAATGATGAAGTAAAGGGTGTGATAAAAGAGAAAAAGGTAGCTTATATGAGGTTATTACAAAGCAGAAGTGTTATAAGAAGAGCAGAGTATATGGAGAGTAAAAGAAAGGTAAAGAGAGTGGTGAGAGAGTGCAAAAGGGAGCAGATGATAAAGTGGGAGAGGCACTGTCAAGAAATTTTGATGAAAATAAGAAAAAATTTTGGAGTTAAACAAGTTAAGCAAGCCTAGGAAACAAATGGATTTGTCAGTTAAAAACAGAGTAAGGAAGTAGTAGATGGGGAGATGGAGGTATTGGGTAGATGGCGGGAATATTTTGAGGAACTTTTAAATGCTGATGAAAAAAAGGAGGTGGTAATTTCATGCATTGGCCAGGGAGGTATACCATCTTTTAGGAGTGAAGAAGAGCAGGATGTGAGTGTGGGGGAGGTGCATGAGGCATTACGTGGAATGAAAGGGGGTAAAGAAACTGGAACTGATGGGATCATGACAAATGTTAAAAGTGTTGGGGTAGTTGGTATTTTTTTTTTAATGAATGTATGAAAGAGGGGAAGGTACCTAGGGATTGGCAGAGAGCATGTATAATTTCTTTATATAAAGGGAAGGGGGACAAAAGAGATTGTAAAAATTATAGAGGAACAAGTTTACTGAGTATACCAGGAAAAGTGTATGGTAGGGTTGTTATTGAAAGAATTAGAGGCAAGACAGAATGTAGGATTGTGGATGAGCAAGGAGGTTTTAGAGTGGGTAGGGGATGTGTAGGTCAAATGTTTACATTGAAGTATATATGTGAACAGTATTTAGATAAAGGTAGAGAAGTTTTCATTGCATTTATGGATTTAGAAAAGGGATAGGGGAGCAATGTGGCAGATGTTGCAAGTATATGGAATAGGTAGTAAGTTACTAAATGCTGTAAAGAGTTTTTATGATGATAGGCTCAGGTTAGGGTGTGTAGAAGAGAGGGAGACTACTTCCCAGTAAAGGTGGGTTTTAGACAGGGATGAGATTAAATTATGGGGAATCAAATACAAAATGGGAATTGACACAGTTAAATTTTGCTGATGATACTGTGCTTATGGGAGATTCTAAAGAAAAGTTGCAAAGGTTAGTGGATGAGTTTGGGAGTGTTTGTAAAGGTAGAAAGTTGGAAGTGAACATGGAAAAGAGTAAGGTAATGAGGGTATCAAATGATTTAGATAAAGAAAAATTGGATATCAAATTGGAGAGGAGTAGTATGGAAGAAGTGAATGTTTTTAGATGTTTGGGAGTTGACGTGTCAGCGGATGCATGTTTGAAGGATGAGGTTAACCATAGAATTGATGAAGGAAAGAAGGTAAGTGGTGCATTGAGGTATATGTGGAGACAAAACACATTATCTGTGGAGGCAAAGAAGGGAATGTATGAAAGTACAGTGGACCCCCGCTTTACGATCAGTTCCCAATGCGACCAATTATGTAAGTGTATTTATGTAAGTGCGTTTGTACGTGTATGTTTGGGGGTCTGAAATGGACTAATCTAATTCACAATATTCCTTATGGGAACAAATTCGTTCAGTACTGGCACCTGAACATACTTCTGGAATGAAATAATATCGTAAACCGGGGGTCCACTGTATAGTGGTACCAATACTCTTAAATGGGTGTGAAACTTGGGTTGTAAATGCTGCAGCGAGGACAGTTGGAGGCAGTGGAGATGTTCTGTCTGAGAGCAATGTGTAGTGTAAATATTATGCAGAAGATTTGGAGTGTGGAAATTAGGAGGTGTGGAGTTAATAAAAGTATTAGTCAGAGGACTGAAGAGGGATTGTTGAGGTGGTTTGGTCATTTAGAGAGAATGGATCAAAGTAGAAGGACTTGGAGAGCGTATAAATCTGTAAGGGAAGGAAGGTGGGGTAAGGGCCGTCCTCGAAAAGGTTGGAGGGAGGGGGTAAAGGAGGTTTTGTGGGCGAGGGGCTTGGACTTCCAGCAAGCGTGTGTGAGCGTGTTAGATAGGAGTGAATGGAGACGAATGGTATTTGGGTCCTGACGAGCTGTTGGAGTGTGAGCAGGGCAATATTTAGTGGAGGGCTTCAGGGAAATCGGTTATTTTTACATAGCCTGACCTGAGTACTGGAAATGGGAAGTATGATGCCTGCACCTTAAAGGAGGGATTTGGGATATTGGCAGTTTGGAGAGATATGTTGTCTATCTTTATGCGTATATGCTTCTAAACTGTTGTGTTCTGGGCACCTCTGCAAAAACAGTGATTATGCGTGAGTGAGGTAAAAGTGTTGAATGATGATGAAAGTATTTTCTTTTTGGGGATTTTCTTTCTTTTTGGATCACCCTGCCTCAGTAGGAGACGGCCAACTTGTTAAAAAGAAGTAAAAAAAAAATTCTTTATACATCAATGACAGTAGCCATTTTTAACATTTTCAGTGATGTGGCACATGAAATTAAAAGTGCTGACTCTGGTTTGTTTTTAAATAGTAATAATTTTATCTTCTGAATTGTTAGAGAATGCTTTTCTGAAGGTAACAACCGAAAATGCCAAATCTTATGGAATACTTAGGGAATTACACATGCACATTAGCGGTTTGGGTGTAATTTATGCATTGGTGATTTCACCCACTTTGGGTCATACTCTGAATCAATTATATTGCTCAATTCAATCCAATTCATAGGTAGTTCGCTGGTATATCTTCTGTAATATCATTTGAGCACAATAAACAGCCTGTACAACTGTCAGAACTATCCTACAAAGTGCACAGAAGTCAGTAATTTGGCCAATTTTACACAAAATTCAAGAAATTCCAATTTATAAACATTCCAGCCACTCGTGCAACCTTTCCTCTGTTGATTAATCATGTCCCGAAGCCTCTTATATATCACTTGCCCTCCATTTTGACTCCATTGTCACAATAAATCAAAGTTTTTACCCTATTTTTTAGATTAATAAAATATAAGCAAGAATAAGAACATAAAGGAGGAACACTGCAACAGGCCTGTTGGCCTGTACTAGGCAGGTCCTGCACAATCCATCCTACTAACAAAACATTTGCCCAACCCAATTTTCACTGCCGTCCAAGAAATAAGCTCTGATAACTATCCACTCATATGCAAGTCCCACTCAACTCCATCTCCTCTCACTTGTGTATTTATCCAACCTAAATTTGAAACTTTCCAAGGTTTTAGCCTCAGTAATCCAACTAGGTAGACTGTTCCACTCATCAACTACCCTATTTCTAAACCAGTACTTTCCTATATCCTTTCTAAATCTAAACTTGTCTAATTTGAATCCAATTACTGCAGGTTCTCTCTTGGAGAGATATCCTCAAGACCTTATTTATATCCCCTTTATTAATACCCATCTTCCACTTATACACTTCGATCATGTCTCCCATCATTCTTCGTCTAACAAGTGAATGTAACTTAAGAGTCTTCAATCTTTCTTCATAAGGAAGATTTCTAATGCTATGTATTAATTTAGTCATTCTATGCTGAATGTTTTCTAACGAATTTATGTCAATTCTGTAATATGGAGACCAGAACTGAGCTGCATAATCTAGGTGAGGCCTTACTAATGATGTATAAAGCTGTAATATAACCGCTGAACTTCTGTTGCTTACACTTCTTGTTATAAATCCCAGTAATCTGTTTGCCTTATTACGTACACTTAGGCATTGCTGTCTTGGTTTAAGGTTATTGCTTATCATAACCCCCAAGTCCTTCTTACAATCTGTATGGCTAAGTTCTACATTATTTAACTTACAAGTGCTAGGATTATGGACACTCACGAGCTTCAGAGCCTTGCATTTATCTACATTGAACTGCATCTGCCACTTTTCTGATCAGGTACTGAGTTTGTCTAAATCCTCCTGAAGTTCCCTGATATCTATGTTTGGGTACTTGGTACTTGGGACCTGACGATTTGTTGGAGTGTGAGCAGGGTAATATTTAGTGAAGGGATTCAGGGAAACCGGTTATTTTCATATAGTCGGACTTGAGTCCTGGAAATGGGAAGTACAATGCCTGCACTTTAAAGGAGGGGTTTGGGATATTGGCAGTTTGGAGGGATATGTTGTGTATCTTTATAAGTATATGCTTCTTAGCTGTTGTATTCTGAGCACCTCTGCAAAAACAGTGATAATGTGTGAGTGTGGTGAAAGCATTGAATGATGATGAAAGTAATTTCTTTTTGCGGATTTTCTTTCTTTTTTGGGTCACCCTGCCTCGGTGGGAGACGGCCGACTTGTTGAAAAAAAAAAAAAATCTTTGTGTCACTGGCAAATTTGCTCATTTCACTAGTAATTCCCTCATCAAGATTATTGATATACAGTGGACCCCCGCATAACGATGGCATCACATAGCGATTATTTCGCATACCGCTTACTTTAATTGCAAAAATTTTGCCTCACATACCGCTTAAAAACCCGCTTACCGATTTTCTTCCGAGACGCGCTCACATGTTCCGCCGGTGGCATTGTTTACCAGCCAGCCTCCGCGGTAACATCCAAGCATACAATCGGAATATTTCTTATTATTACAGTGTTTTCGGTGCTGTTTCTGGAAAATAAGTGACCATGGGCCCCAAGAAAGCTTCTAGTGCCAACCCTGTGGTAAAAAGGGTGAGAATTAGTATGGAAATTAAGAAAGATTTTGAAGGGTTTGGGGCTAACCCTGAGAAGCCTATGCCAGTTGTGGAATCCATTGTGCCTACTTCAAAAATTAAGGAAATGTGTGCACAGTGGGTTGAACTGCAAACCTTTATGGATGAAAATCACCCTGACACAGCTGTTGCAAGCCGTGCTGGTGACTATTTCAATGACAATGTTGTGGCCCATTTTAGACAAATCGTAAAGGAACGGGAGGTACAGAGCTCTATGGACAGATTTGTTGTGCAACAGAGGTCCAGTGACTCTCAAGCTGGTCCTAGTGGCATTAAAAGAAGAAGGGAAGTAACCCCGGAAAAGGACTTGCTACATCAAGTCCTAATGGAAGGGGATTCCCCTTCTAAACAGTAAGAAGATAATGCTCTCCCCTCCTCCCATCCCATCAATCATCACCAGATCTTCAATAAAAGTAAGTGTCATGTAAGTGTGCATGCCTTTTTCAGTTTGTGTGTATTAAAATTAACATTTCATGTGGTAAAAAAATTTTTTTTTCATACTTTTGGGTGTCTTGCACGGATTAATTTTATTTCCATTATTTCTTATGGGGAAAATTCATTCACATAACGATTATTTCGCATAACAATTACCCCTCTTGCACGGATTAAAATCGTTAACCGGGGGTCCACTGTATATTATAAACAACAACAGGCCCAAGACTGATCCCTGTGGAACGCCACTTGTTACAGATCTCCACTCGGATTTAACCCCATTTATGGACACACTCTACTTCCTGTCTGTGAGTCATGACTCGATCCATGAGAGCACTTTTCATTCAATGCCATGAGCTGCCACTTTCTTTAACAGTCTTTGGTGCAGAACTCTATCAAAAGCCTTACTAAAATCAACGTAAATAATATCAAATTCTTTATCGTGATCAACAGCCTCAAAAGCTTTACTGAAGAATGATTGGTCATGGTTTAAGCTGTCTCACTAACTGAAGAAGAGACCTTGTAAAACCCATAAAACATAAGGTGAAGAGGCCCTACCCTTCCTCAGGAGAGTTGCCAAAAATTGAATAACTTTGTCACTTTGGAAACCTCTTCCAAGCTATTTTAAACTAAACACAAAATCAGAGTTTTGCTTTTCCTATCGTGTACTGTGTGGGGCAGGATTTATTATTTATTTTGCACACTCACCACATAAAGCCATTCTCTCATGGCTAGACCAAAATTCACCACTGGCCTATTTAAGGGTATTGTGCATACATAGATCTATGAAGTAACACTGGTTTCAGTGACAGATATTTATTGCAGACAGTAAAAGGGTTAATCTGTTTTCACACACATTGCTCCTTCTGTAATTAGTTTGAATGATCATGGCCATTTCACTCAACATGAAAAACTCTTACTTTTATTTTAATAATTTCAATAATCATCATTTTCTCATTGTATAATGTTTTTTCATAGAAACTTTGCAACAAATTTTCCACAAGAATTTAGTCTTTACAGTATTTTGCAAAGCCTTTGTATCCATATTTTTCAATCTGATTTTCTTGCAAACAATTTTGTAGAAGTAATAAATACTTTACAGCATCTTCCACTTAATTGTATTTGATGTTTCATTCTGTTTATACACTATCTTGTATAATGAATGTAATGTATGTATATTTGTTTCTGCAGGCTATTGGTGGTTCAGGTGGTGTAATATGGAGCAGCAGCAAAACAGAAGTGGTTGGGGTATCACAGATGGGTGTATGCAAGACAAAGACTCATGGCTCTGTATCAGTTACTGCATCTATGGTACTCAACCCACATAACAAAGATGCAGCTCAGGTTAGTACAGTGAAACATCCCTATGTATCTGCCTACAGTATATGTTCGAGTATGGCCTGGGTTCACGTACAGGTTAACCCTTCCCCCCCCCTACCCTCTACCCCCACCTTTTTTTTTTTTTTTCTTCAAAAATGCTACTCATGTTTGCAAGTTCAGCCTGTTCTTCTGATATTCTGTGTACATACATTTTGTGTATTGTATAGATTCCTAGAAAGATAATTTATGTAAGTTCTCTTCTGATATTTATCAGAGAAGGATTACAACAATATTTAAGCCAAGACAGTGGTTTAGAGAGAGGGGAGGGGGAGGCTGAAGACATGTGCTTAAGATAAAATATATGAGGAACTGATAGTCTTGGCAGTGTTGTTGGTGAAAAAAGTTAACAAAAGTTAAGATGTCAACTTTTGGGGATGTGTTTTACCTGGAGAGTTTGCCTGGAGAGAGTTCCGGGGGTCAATGCCCCCGCGGCCCGGTCTGTGACCAGTTTAAATAAAATTTTAAATTTATGTTTATGCTGGTAAAAAATTAGTGAATTAATTTGGTTATCACAGGCCTCTAGTGTGCATTTTTAATATTAATTTTTGACCTTAAAGAGCTTTTCAACTAAGTTGTACAACTTTCTTGTAATGCAGTGGAACCTCAAATATTAAACTTAATCCGTTCCAGGAGTTAGTTCTAAATTCGAAAAGTCTGAAAAGCGAAGCCATATTTCCCATAAGAAATATGTAATGGAAGTACAATTAATCCGTTCCAAAAACCCAAAAATATTCACAAAAAAAAATAAATTTTATGAAGATTAATTATAGTTTTACATACACACAACAAATATAGTGTTCAATTATGTATTAATAAGTTTAAATAAACATATAAAATAACATTATTTTTATATAGCCGGACTTGAGTCCTGGAAATGGGAAGTACAATGCCTGCACTTTAAAGGAGGGGTTTGGGATATTGGCAGTTTGGAGGGATATGTTGTGTATCTTTATATGTATATGCTTCTGAACTGTTGTATTCTGAGCACCTCTGCAAAAACAGTGATAATGTGTGAGTGTGGTGAAAGTGTTGAATGATGATGAAAGTATTTTCTTATTGGGGATTTTCTTTCTTTTTTGGGTCACCCTGCCTCGGTGGGAGATGGCCGACTTGTTGAAAAAAAAAAAAATAACATTTTACTTACCTTTATTGAAGATTGGTGATGGCATCTGGAAGATAGGGAGGAGGAGAGAGGGAGTTGGGGTTAGTGTTTGGAAGGAGAATCCTCCATGAGGACTTCAGGTATCAAAGCCCTCTCTGGGGTTACTTCCCTTCTGTGTTTTAATGCCACTAGGACCAGCTTGAGAGTCACTGGACCCCTGTCTCACAAAATAACTGTCCAGTCCTCTGTTTCTGGTGCCTCTTTAAGATTTCCCTAAAATGGGACATGGTTCTGTTACTGAAGTTGTTGCAAAGATGGCTTGTTTCAGCTTGCTCAGGGTGGTACTTCTCCACAAACATGTAGACATCATTCCACTTGGGCATCATTCCACTTCTGTATTATTTCCTTCTTCACATCTATGGTGTTTCTCACTTTCTTTACCACAGGGGTACCACCAGCAAGTTTCAATGCTCCCATTGCAGCTTATTTCACAGTCTCTCAAGCACTAAACACAATGAAATAATCGTAAGATGTTTGAATGAGATAGCAGGTTAGTGTTCACTCAAGCATCAACAAAACCAGACTGGCTCACAGCGCCTGCGTGGGGACACGGACAGAGCGGGCTGCCGGACAGGTCAGGTACCCGGCGGTTCAAAAATAGGGGCGAGTTCGATAATAGGGACAAAGTTGGTTCGAAAAAAGGGTTCTATTTTCAAAGAGTTCGATAAGCGATACGTTCGAAATTTGAGGTTCCACTGTACAAGTACTGTTTACCATTTTCTTAATGTATAGTATAAAAAATTTCATAATTTTCACTTTTTATAGAAGCACTGTGTGACCCCAATGGATTTACATTTCTCAATGAATACAATAATAATAATAATTCACTCGTGTACAGATCCACATTGTCGAGGCCATAGGCTTGACACTACTCGAGGGAATTGTCGAGGTAGAAGTTGAAGAAAGGTTGCCTCTGCATGTGGCCTCGTTCACACAGTGGGATAATACTATGGTGCCTTTCACAGTGTGCCACCAGTTACCTCTGAAAGTAGAACCAGTGGAACTCAAATTCATTGCTTTACCAGGTTTGTTACACAATTTTTTTAGCCCTGCATTTTGTGCTTCATGGAAGTAGGATCTTGATGCTGGTGAATAATTTTTTATCCAGTGAATTGTAGATATTCTCCAATTCCTTACATGAAACCTAATTACCCCTTCCCTTCATATTCTTTCTGTATAAGATCCCTGCTTTGGACAATGACTATATTTTTTGATATATTGTATGTACATTTTGTGTCTTCCTAATGTACTTTTAATTATGTTTATAGCACACTGTGTGTCTCCCACCAAGGTAATGTGTCCTGAAAAAGAAGAAATACTTTCACCATCATTCACTCTATTTCTGTCTTGTCAGAATTGTGCTGATACTACAGTTCGGATGCCACTTCATACTGCAAATATTCTCACTTTTTCTTTGGAGTGCAGGCACTGTACTTCTCACATTCAGGACCTAACCAGTTTCCCTGAATCCCATCACGAAATATTACCCTGCTCACACTCCAACGGCTCGTCAAGTCCCATAAACCGTTCATCTAGATTCATTCCTATCTAACACGCTCACACGTGATTTCTGTATGTACAAGCCTCTTGCACACAAAACCTCTTTTACCCTCTCCATCCATCCTTTCCTTGGACAACCCCTACCCATCCTCCCCTCCACCACAGATTTATACACCCTCCAAGTCATCCTATTTTGTTCCATCCTCTCTAAATGACCAAACCACCTCAACGAGGCAGGGTGACCCAAAAAAAAAAGAAATGTAAAACAATGGATCTAATATAAGTTTATTCTCTGACTTTCAGACGTTAAGAAACCCACGGTTGAAAGCTCCTGTGCAGTTGTTGAAGTCGAAGGAAAAACCCCAGGGTTTTCTGCAGTTAAAGTTTCTTACCAGAGTACTAAAGGTGAACTGGCGCCGACTGTGGTTGCTGCTTTTGGGTAAGGCAAGTGGTTAATTTTTTTTTTTTTTTAAGCTTTTTGGAAAATTTCCCAGAATGAATTTGCCTTTTTCAAAAATATAAAAAGGGGATAAGTTAAAAATTTATCAAAAAAATTTTGATTGATGACAGCCAAGAAATATGAAAAACTCCATACAAATTCTTTGTTTTTTTATGTGCTTTCAGGAAAAAATACGGGATACGTTTTCAGTGTTAAATCATTTGTGTGAAAACTGTACATGGACCCCCGGGTTAACTTTTTAACCGTGCAAGGGGGGAAAATTTGGGGTTATGCAAAAAAATCGTTTGTGAAAAATTTTTCCCCAAAAAAAAAGGGAAATAAAATTAATCCGTGCAAGACGCCCAAAAGGGTATAAAAAAAATTTTTTTTACCACATAAAGTTAATTTTAATACACACAAACTAAAAAGGCAGCCAATTCATGACATTTTATTTTTTATTGAAATCGGTGAGATTGATGGGAGGGGAGGGGAAGCAACTTTTTACTGTTTAGAAGGGAATCCCTTCCATTTGGACTTGAGGTAGTAAGTCCTTTTTTTTGGGTTTCTTCCCTTTTTCTTTTAAAACCACAGGGGCCCGCTTCAATCACTGGGCTTCTTTTTGCACAAGATATCTGTCCTAGTGGCCTGTACCCCTCTTCCCTTTTTTCCTTCCCTAAAGTGTTCACAACATTGTCATGTACAGGTTCCAAAAAGGCTTGCAAAGCTGTGGAGGGGATTTTCACCTGAAGGGTTTTCACTTTAAGCCCTTTGCACAGATTTTCCTTTTTCTTTTTAGTAGGCAACTTCTTCAATTTTTTTCCCCCTCTCCCCTCCCTGAACCAGTTTCCCCAGGGCTGGCCTCGCCTTTAAGGGTCATCCCATCATGTTATTCTTCATTTTCCTCCTCCACCAACCTTCACACCCCCCCCACTAACCCCCAACCCCCGGACTTTCCCAATCCACAATGGATTCCTCAAATGGCACAGGTTTTTCCCGGGTAGCCTCAAACCCTTCAAAAACCCTTTTGTCACACTTCGGCCAATTTCTTCCAAGCGAGTTCAAAGGGCCTCTTACACTTCCCCCCAAGCCCTTTCCTAAAGGTTTTTCACAATTGAGGATTTTAAAGTGTCTCCCAAAACTCTCTTAGAGTCTTGAGTTTCGGGGTCTTTACAAAGACCTTTCAAACGAGCTTTTGTGACGTTTTTTGATTTGGAAAATAACCTGCTGGTCCGGGCGCAGAAGGAGTGGTATGGGAGGAAAAAAACTCACCTTAAAAGCTCATTCCCCTAAATCGCTCGGGGCCACCGTGGGGATGACCGGGGGGCATTGTCTAACACCAGAGGCATTTAATTCTAATTTTTTTCATTTAGGAAATTTTTTCACAGGGGGGCAAAGCAGGTGTAACCAGTTATAAAAAAATTTCCCTAGTGACCCTGCCTTACTGTTTTCCCCCTCCACAGCACCAAAAATTTATCCTTGAGGACATTCTTTTGCCTGAACCTCGGGGAGTTTCAGAGTGATACACAAAAAAGGGTTTTCATTTTGCAACACCAGTAGCATTGGAAAACACAAAACAAAGTAACCCTGTCTTTCATATTTTTATGCCTGGGAGTGCCTTTTCCTCCTGATAATGTGGGTCCTGCTTGGCATTTTCTTCCAGAACGCCTTTTCCAATCACAATTAAACATTTGTTCAGGTTAAGTCCTCATTTTCTATTACTCCTTGAATTCCTCACATATTTTTCAGCCGTTTTGGGGGTCCGAAGGGGCAGCCCCCATCTTATCAACTTGGACCACACCCTTAAATCCTCAAACCAAACCCTTTTGCGGGCCCTTTAAATTTCACCACATCACACTAGTTCGGGCATTTTTTAATTAAACCCTCATCAACTTCCTACCTTTTCACATAGTCGTTTTGAGAGATCTATCTCCTCACCTTTTTTTCATTTACCCACACCAAAAAGAGTCCTCAAATCTCCATCACTTGCGATCTTTTTTCGAAAACACATTTTAAAACCTTTTGGGAAGAACAGCTTCCTTGTTTTCCCCTTTTGGGGCCCACAAAAGAGCGATGGGTATTGGGGTTTCTGTACAGCTTGACTAGCGGGATCGCACTCCCCTTCTACTTACAAAATCTCTTTTCTTCACAATGGGAATTTCTCACCCTTATTGGGGTAGGGTTGGGACAGAAACTTTTTTGGGGCCCATGGTCACTTTTTTTCCACAAACACACCGAAAAACTGTAAAAATACGAAATTCCGATAGCTGGGTGTTACCGCGGAGGCGGCTGGTAAACGGACGGGGGGCACATGTGAGGCTGGCTGAGGCACATTGGGCGCGTCTCGGACGAAAATCGTGACGGGTTTTTAATCGGATGCCGGCAAAATTTTTTCGTAAAAATAAGCGGGATGCGGGAAAAATCGCTATGTATCCATCGTTTTCGGGGGGGCCACTGACTTACAAACTGAAACACGGGCTGGACATTTCGCATTTATGGACATCAAAAAAGTTGATAAATTTTATGATAACAGGTTTAAAAAAAAGAAATTATAACTGGATAAGGGCTTGTGTTTTGTTATTTTAGTCATAAATTAAAAGTAAAGTGCAGAAAAGTCACTGGGTTTGATAGCACAGAATTTAAATGGATCCATACCCAAAAATTTTAAGTACATTAAAAAATTACTTTGAAAGTTTCGCTTGGGTTGGCACTGCATTAAAAAAAATGCAAATCCTTTAATTTTGTTTGTTTTTTTTTTTCAAGGGGCCCCTTACTCCTATTAACCATACTGGAAGGGCATTTTAGCTTTAGGTTTTTTCAAGGGTTATACGTTTGAAGGTGGGCCTTTACCTTGGGTAAGGAAACCGCTTTTCCCCACGCCAAAGGTTGGGTTTTCCTGATTTTTTCCCTTGTCATTTCCCAAGCCATTTCCCCACAATAATGAATGTTCCTTCCATGCATGCAGAAACTTCTTGAATAATTGGTTGACTACATAAAATTTATTTTCATCTATTTTTTGCTTGTTTATACTCATGTTTTTCACTTAACCTCACACTACTCATTGTTGTAAGTTTTTAATAGCTAGTCTTGTCCAATGGTCTTATTTTCATTTTCAAAGCTAACCACTTTTAACGTTTACTTTATTGATTAAGCAGGAAGTATCTCGCAATACAAGTCATTATCTCGGTCATACGTCAACTACTCATTAATTTCAACCATTAACCAACACTCAGATAATCTGCATTAAATCAGTCTTTGAATAATTGCAGCCATAGGTCAACTTTTCAATAATTTGTCTCAAATTAACCTTTAATTAAGATCAACCATAAGTCAACTCCTCTTCCCAAAACAAAGGACCAAAACTATGTGAGAGCTGAAGTGATGCATTGTCTGTTCATAAGAATGGTGAGAAATTGAGGAGTATAGCAGTTTACAAATTAGAATGAGCAAAAATTATGCTTTGCAAGAAGCTTTCATGAAAGGCTTTGTGAGACAGAACTGAATGTGGAGGTGATGCAGTAGTATGTGAAGAAGACTTCAGTCATCAGGGGAGATAGAATAATCTGAGAATACATGGGAGTACATGGTAAAGACAGATAACACAGGACTTGAAAATCTACTGAGGCTATATGGTGAGAACTATCTACTTCTACTCAGAGTAATGACTGTTTCGTATTATCTAGGTGTCTGAGGGAAGGTTAAAAGTGCAGAAGGCTCTCTTCTTACTCTCCACTCCCTCAACCACTGCTAGCATGAAAACCTGAAAAAATATACCATGTAGGTATTTGAAAAACGGCATGGAATCTACAGGAGAGATGGAGCTAGGCGGGAGGTGTGGGTTACAACTACCTCTACTAAATTAGTACTTTTCCTACCCTAAATTATGTTATTCTACTGCCACTTTCTGAGCTGTGTGTACCAGTGGTTCTACTTCTGGTTACCACCAGTTCTGTTCTGACTATCATAACCCTCTATCTTCTACCACCATTACTATTACTGACTCGATTGGGATGATTGCCATTTTGCAGATGCATTCGCTGGACAGACATCAGGAATCTGTTGACTTCAGAATACCCTGTCTATTGAATGCATATGACAGGCTGCATGGGTTTAGTGAGTGGTTGAGTAAGGTAATGAGTGTCCTATGCAACAGCTTGCTCCTGTCCCCTCTCACTATACCCTAAATGTTACTGGTCACTATAACTTACTGCATTTTGTAACAAATGGTATGGGCTGACCCAGCAATTTTGACTTGTTATTGTGTACAGAGCATGTAATTCTGAAGACATAGGCAGTTCTTCCCACAAGGGGTGTTGGTATGTTGCAGTTTTTTAACTGTAGTGTAGGTGCACCTCTGGCAAGACAGTGATGAAGTGAATGATGATCAAAGGGTTTCTTCTTTTTTTGATCGCCCAGCCTTGGTGTAAAACGGCCGATGTGTTAAAAAAAAAAAAAAAAAAAGGCACAATTTGTATTTAGTTGAATCTTATGCTTGCAAAATGCCTGAGTGAGCTAATGTAGATGCATTTTGTGGAGGAAGCCTCCATTACTGTACCCTTTTCAACTAATTTTATAAATCTACTGAACCTGAATTCTTATTGAGTTTATATAAGTAAATTTATATTGTGTTTTTCTCATTTTATATTTCAGTCAAGATAGACAACACAGATATGGTAAGAGTGAAGCTTTTAGGTGAAACTAAGAAACATTCTGATATACATGCTGTGGAAGTATTGTGCCTTGATCTTGGCGAGTTTACACTCACTCTTACTGTTGGAAACTCTCCATCTCCAACTCTTCCTCATCCTCGAAGTGTAAGTTATTTTGTAGTGAAGCTAGAGCATGTGTAGTATGTTTTTTGTTTCTCTGTTTTGTGAAAAGCCAAAATTTTATGATTAGCTACTAAAGTGTTGCCTATCATCTGAAGAAGGTTTTTTTTTTTATTTTAGATTTTTTACAATATTAATGTTAATTTTTTAGTAGTAGAGTATAATAAATTTCAGCCATTTATGAAATTTTTCTTGTTGCTATTCCTATTCTTGTAAATGGTTTAACCCTTTCAGGGTCCGTGCCATAGTTCTTCGGCTTTGAGTTCTGGGTTCAAATTGTAGTTCTACGCCATGAGCTCAGCTCACTCAGATAAGCTGAGTGGTAAATTTGGACCTAAATATGAGAGAATACATTTATGTGGTAAGTGTGCACCACATAAAACAAATTCTGCAGCACACAGTGCATAATGAGAAAAAACTGAGACCGTAATTTTGGATTAAAACAGCGACTTTGCAGTGTTTTTTTGTATGTTTTTTATAGTTGTATTTGTGATTTCTTGGTCTCATTTGATGGAATGGAAGATATATTACAGAAATAGAGATGATTTTGATTGGTTTTAGCACTGAAAATGGCTTGAAACTGAGCTCAAAGTAGCAGAAATGTTAAATTTTTGCCCATGTTCAAGAGTAAACAAATCACACCACTCATCCAATACACGTCAGCTGGTGGGTCTTATGTGCGTTCACAAATGCGCTGATGTTATTTATGCAATAATTACAATATTGCATAAAAGTAAATCTTCCATTTCTTTTGAATAAAAATTCATTATGTTAATAAAAAATCAAAATGGAATTCATTTGTAAAGCCTGAAAACGTAACTAATGAGCAAAGGAAATACTGGTTTAGTGCCAGGACTGCCTGCATTGTTTATTCTGGGCCCTATTTTGAAGTAAGAATATTTTGAACTGCTGGTTTAGTGCCAGGAATGCTTGCATTGTTTATTCTGGACCCTATTTTGAAATAGGAATATTTTGAACTTTTTGATAAATTGGCCAAACTACCAATTTCTGATCACTTTATTGGGTAGTTGAAACAGTTGACTTGGTGATTTCTTGTGCTCAATTGATAAAATTAATACTAGCGAAATGGCTAATAATTTGGTCGACTGGAATAATGTAATTGGCCTAAAATGGGAGTCAGAGTCGGCAAAATTGCCGATGCGTAAATATCACTGATGCATCAAAATTCGTGAGAGCATGATTTCGTCAGTTTTCCATCAAATTTTGTACTTTTTGTTTTATTACCTTCAGAAAAAAATTCTCTACCATTTCATAAGAAAAAAAAATAATTTTTTTTTTATGAAATTCTTGGACCCTGTGGACACATCTCAGATTTTGGGTCTGGACCCTGAAAGGGTTAAAAAGCTGAGAGAATTATTATAGTCTGTTAATCTTAATTTGGGTTATAAATTCAGTATATGCAGTATAAAAGTTCAGATTTCTTTCTTCCTGTAATATAAAGCATTGACTTTATATTCTCAAAATCTTGGTTCTCAAAAGAAAAAAGAGGAACCTAAAGACAGTGATGTCATGATTGAGAGTAATGTGTAGTGTGAATGTTATACAGAGAATTTCAGCCCCCCAATTCTGGGTCACTTTAACACTGTGGTGAGGTTATAGTTTATGCCTAGGAGTAGGATGTGTCTTCTGTAGGTGGGGAGTGCCACTCTTCTCTGTATGGGGATGCCACTCTCCATAGGCTGCTTGCCTGAGAACCCAGCATCTCTTTCAGCATAAATGGTGAGAATATTTTCCCTTTCATTTAGATTTGCTCACACTCTTGGCCAGTGACATGAAAAATTTTATAGACATGAATTGTGAAATGTAAAAAAATACATTTTGAGGAGTTTTACTTGCAGATTGGGAAGCTAAAGATACAGACGAGTCACAGGGAAGTCAGAAAGAATTTCTACAGTCTCAGGGTGGATGGGAAGTGGAATGACCCTGATGAAGTGGGAGAGGCAGACTTTATGCATGATTTTAAGAATAGCTATGACAGGGCCAACAAGGCTAGGAGAGTGAATCTGGCAAGTGGCAGATTCAGAGGTGGAGTCAGGAGTTAAGACTCAAACCCTGTATTGTGACCCCTGAATGGGTCACAATGTATATAATGTATATTACCTGTTCATGTAATTTTATATTGCTTATATTTGCGATATTAGCTAAATTGTAAATATATTGCTTTATATTATTATTTGACTTAGTTATATTATTAGGTAGGATGTAATATTTATATATTATTCAGTGCTCATAGTTCGAGTGTTAAGTAGCTGACAGCATTGCCTAACTATCGCTCCGCTTGTTTCCCTGCCGGCTTCTCTGTGTTGCTGGGCAACAGCAGTCCATGGAGAGTCACGTGATCAGGGATGATCACACCTCACCAGGAGTGAGTGTCGGCCTGGCCTGCGCTGATTATTGTCGGTTGGACGTTGCTTCTAACAAGAGGTCCCTCTACTGCTCTACCTTGTGGGCCCTTGTTGGAAGATCGTCTCTGTCGCTTTCTTGTTGTTGGTTCTGTGTAACTCTGTTCACAGAACATGGTCTAGACTTAGTGATTTTTGATGTACTGTGGTTGTGTGTCGCATAGACACTCTGAGAAACTCAGGTCCTGAGCTGTAGCTTCTGACCTAATTTGTACTGGTATCTGTGTACTGTCACAGTCGGGGATTTTCTAATGCTGAACTTAGATTCAGTAGTATGGGAGTTTTGTGACTTGTGGAGGATCTGCAGATGGTCCCTACTTAGTGTCGTTATATTATCTCCTTGTTCCTGATTCTGTGTCGCTGTTGCTTGTTTTATTGCTGTTCGGCTTAACAGTCGCTTTATTGTTCAAGCAAGCTGTTCTGATTGCCAGGTTGGTCAAGAAGTTAGTTTGTGAGGACTTTTAGTCAGTCACTGGTAAAGTCTAGTCGAGTCTCGAGACATAGCGAACTACTTAGAGCACTTACACACATACACACAAACTTACTTGTATATATTTGTAAGTTGTTATTAAATGCTAACACTGTACCAGACAGTACTTAAAAGCCATAAAGATCTGATATGTGCCTTCAGCACAATACTACTGTACACGAGAGAAGTGTAGGAACTTGTATCCTATATTCAATTGATTACTTTAATTTACTTTGATAATATAAGCCTAGACAACTTTGTTATTAATAAACTTATTAAATTTTAATCTCTTTAGTAAGTAGCCTACCAGTTGTAATCCTGAAGCACTATTGAATCTTAATAAATTCTGATGGATAATTGGACCAGGATACTGACTACTTGTTACAAAAACCTAGTAACAGGCTGGATGCTAGAAGGGCAGTCCTCTCTAGTATTCACTGGAGATCTCTATCATTATTAGATACCGCATTTTTTGTAACACCCTGCAACTACATACATATAGTTGAATACAGCATTTGAATGAATATTATTCTTTTTATTAACACATCAGCCGTTTCCCACCAAGGCAGGGTGGCCCGAAAAAGAAAAACGTCCATCATCATTCACTCCATCACTGTCTTGCCAGAGGCATGTTTTCACTACAGTTATAAAACTGCATCATTAACACCCCTCCTTCAGAGTGCCAGCACTGTACTTCCCATCTCCAGAAATCAAGTCCAGCCTGCCGGTTTCCCAGAATCCCTTCATAAATGAATGAATGATGGTGAAAAATTTTTTTTGGCCCACCTTACTTTAATGAGAGTTAGCCTGCAAGGTTAAAAAAAAAAAGTTTAAATTAACATAATTAATTTGGGAAAAAAATTATTTTTTCTTATGAAATAATAGAGAATCTTTTCCCGATGGTAATGACACCAAAAGTACGAAATTTGGTCGAAAACTCACGGAATTACGCTCTCGTGAAGTTAGCGGTCTCAGCGACATATACGCATCAGTGATTTTGCCAACTTTTAGCCCTGTTTTTGGCCAATTCTGTTGTTCCAGTTGATCAGACTCATAGCTATTTCTTTAGAACTTCATTTTTTCTATCTGTTGAGTACAAGAAACCGCCCATTTACCAATTTGAACTATCCAATAAAGTGGTCAGAAATTGGCAATTTGGCCAATTTCACGCAAATTGAAAAAGTTGCCAGTTTCAAAATAGGGTCCAGAATAAACAATGTAGACATTCTTGGCACTAAAATAACATATCCTCTGTTCATTAGTCACGTCTCTAGGCCCCTCTTATATTACTATTGCTTTCTATTTTGATTTTTTATTCATACAGAAAAATACAAAATTTACTGTTATGCAGACTACTGCATTATTGTAAAAATGGTATAAATAATATCAGTGCACTAGTGAAAGAATATTAGACTCCCCAGTTGAAGTTTATTGGACGTGTGGTGTGATTTGCTTACTCCTGAACATTGGTAAAAATCGAACATTTCCTCTACTTTGAGCTCAATTTCAAGGTCATTTTCATCGTGAAAGTAATCAAAATCATCTCTCTTTCTGTAATATGTTTTCCATTTTATCACCTGAGACCATGAAAACAAGAATACAACGATAAATACTATACGAAAATACACTTCAAAGTCGGCATTTTAATCCAAAAAAGCGGTCAGTTTTTTTTCTCATTACGCACTGCATGCTGCAGGATTTTTTTTATGTGGTGCACACTGACCACACAGACCCATTCTCTCACATGTGGGCCTACCAGCTTTCTCCCGCTTGATTTGAAGCCGCTAGAATTTACGCATATTAATACGTCAGAAACAGTGGTGCGTAAGACGTATGTATACGACCGAAACAGTCAAAGGGTTAATTATGATCTTTCTCCATCAGGTTAGTTCAACTCTGAAAGTTGTGTGTGCATTGCCAGATGCAATTAGTTTGGCAGCTGTTATAAAGAGACCTGTTGCTGCTCAGTCACCTTGTCCAGCTGTAGCAGAGATTGGGGTGGTAAGTTAATATAAAGAATACAAGTAATATGATTAAAACTTCATTAGCCATAGTTAATCATCAAAAGAGTTTGCATTGCATTAGATTAATACTGCTTTAAATAGTTTGTGAGCATGAGGGGAAAATTAGGTGAATGAAAGAAAAAAAAAAAGGTTTCTAGCTTATCCATTCTCTATATCTGTGATCTTAGTTTATGAATTCAGATTTTTTGCCTTTAAAGTTCACTTGGCTGTCCTGCAAATTATGCTTACTGTGATGCTAAAAAGCTAAACCCAGTTCTCTAATTAAGACACCAGTATTTTGCCTTCCCTGTTTCTAATTTACTAACACTCTTATACAGTACACTGTGGATATTAAACATGTCAAACTAAAGCTCTTGAAAGAATGTGGTTCTGTTCATATATTTATTTATTTTTTTTTTTTCAACAAGTCGGCCGCCTCCCACCGAGGCAGGGTGACCCAAAAAAGAAAGAAAATCCCCAAAAAGAAAATACTTTCATCATCATTCAACACTTTCACCACACTCACACATTATCACTGCTTTTGCAGAGGTGCTCAGAATACAACAGCTTAGAAGCATATACGTATAAAGATACACAACATATCCCTCCAAACTGCCAATATCCCAAACCCCTCCTTTAAAGTGCAGGCATTGTACTTCCCATTTCCAGGACTCAAGTCCGACTATATGAAAATAACCGGTTTCCCTGAATCCCTTCACTAAATATTACCCTGCTCACACTCCAACAGATCGTCAGGTCCCAAGTACCATTCGTCTCCATTCACTCCTATCTAACACGCTCACGCACGCTTGCTGGAAGTCCAAGCCCCTTGCCCACAAAACCTCCTTTACCCCTCTCTCCAACCCTTTCGAGGACGACCCCTACCCCGCCTTCCTTCCCCTATAGATTTATATACTTTCCATGTCATTCTACTTTGATCCATTCTCTCTAAATGACCAAACCACCTCAACAACCCCTCTTCTGCCCTCTGACTAATACTTTTATTAACTCCACACCTTCTCCTAATTTCCACACTCCGAATTTTCTGCATAATATTTACACCACACATTGCCCTTAAACAGGACATCTCCACTGCCTCCAACCGTCTCCTCGCTGCTGCATTTACCACCCAAGCTTCACACCCATATAAGAGTGTTGGTACTACTATACTTTCATACATTCCCTTCTTTGCCTCCATAGATAACGTTTTTTTGACTCCACATATACCTCAACGCACCACTCACCTTTTTTCCCTCATCAATTCTATGATTAACCTCATCCTTCATAAATCCATCCGCCGACACGTCAACTCCCACGTATCTGAAAACATTCACTTCTTCCATACTCCTCCTCCCCAATTTGATATCCAATTTTTCTTCATCTAAATCATTTGACACCCTCATCACCTTACTCTTTTCTATGTTCACTTTCAACTTTCTACCTTTACACACATTCCCAAACTCATCCACTAACCTTTGCAATTTTTCTTTAGAATCTCCCATAAGCACAGTATCATCAGCAAAAAGTAACTGTGTCAATTCCCATTTTGAAATTGATTCCCCAAAATTTAATCCCACCCCTCTCCCGAACACCCTAGCATTTACTTCCTTTACAACCCCATCTATAAATATTTTAAACAACCATGGTGACATTACACCTCCCTGTCTAAGACCTACTTTTACCGGGAAGTAGTCTCCCTCTCTTCTACACACCCTAACCTGAGCCTCACTATCCTCATAAAATCTCTTTACAGCATTTAATAACTTACCACCTATTCCATATACTTGCAACATCTGCCACATTGCTCCTCTATCCACTCTATCATATGCCTTTTCTAAATCCATAAATGCAATAAAAACTTCCCTACCTTTATCTAAATACTGTTCACATATATGCTTCAATGTAAACACTTGATCTACACATCCCCTACCCACTCTGAAACCTCCTTGCTCATCCGCAATCCTCCATTCTGTCTTACCTCTAATTCTTTCAATTATAACCCTACCGTACACTTTTCCTGGTATACTCAGTAAGCTTATTCCTCTATAGTTTTTACAGTCTCTTTTGTCCCCTTTCCCTTTATATAAAGGGACTATACATGCTCTCTGCCAATCCCTAGGTACCTTCCCCTCTTTCAATACATTTATTAAACAGAAGTACCAACCACTCCAACACTATATCCCCCCTGCTTTTAACATTTCTGTCATGATCCATCAGTTCCAGCTGCTTTACCCCCCTTTCATTTTACATAATGCCTCACGTAACCTCCCCCACACTTACATTCTGCTCTTCTTCACTCCTAAAAGATGGTATACCTCCCTGACCAGTGCATGAAATTACTGCCTCTGTTTCTTCCTTAACATTTAAAAGTTCCTCAAAATATTCTCACCATCTACCTAATACCTCCATCTCCCCATCTACTAACTCCCCTACTCTGTTTTTAACTGACAAATCCATATTTTCCCTAGGCTTTCTTAACTTGTTTAACTCGCTCCAAAATTTTTTCTTATTTTCATTAAAATTTCTTGACAGTGCCTCTCCCACTCTATCATCTGCTCTCCTTTTGCACTCTCTCACCAACTCTCTTTACCTTTCTTTTTACTCTCCATATACTCTGCTCTTCTTATAACACTTCTGCTTTGTAAAAACCTCTCTATAAGCTACCTTTTTCTCTTTTATCACACCCTTAACTTCATCATTCACCAATCACTCCTCTTTCCCTCCTGCCCCCACCCTCCTATAACCACAAACTTCTGCCCCACATTCTAATACTGCATTTTTAAAACTATTCCAACCCTCTTCAACCCCCCCACTACTCATCTTTGCACTAGCCCACCTTTCTGCCAATAGTCCGCTTATATCTCACCCGAACTTCCTCCTCCCTTAGTTTATACACTTTCACCTCCTCTTACTTGTTGTTGCCACCTTCGTCTTTTCCCATCTACCTCTTACTCTAACTGTAGCTACAACTAAATAATGATCCGATATATCAGTTGCCCCTCTATAAACATGTACATCCTGGAGCCTAACCCATCAACCTTTTATCCAACCAATACATAATCTAATAAACTACTTTCATTACGTGCTACATCATACCTTGTATATTTATTTATCCTCTTTTTCATAAAATATGTATTACTTATTACCAAATTTCTTTCTACACATAGCTCAATTAAAGGCTCCCCATTTACATTTACCCCTGGCACCCCAAATTTACCTACTACTCCCTCCATAACATTTTTACCCACTTTAGCATTGAAATCCCCAACCACCATTACTCTCACACTTGATTCAAAACTCCCCACGCATTCACTCACATTTCCCAAAATCTCTCTCTCTCTCCTCTACACTTCTCTCTTCTCCAGGTGCATACACGCTTATTATAACCCACTTTTCACATCCAATTTTTATTTTACTCCACATAATCCTTGAATTAATACATTTATAGTCCCTCTTTTCCTGCCATAGCTTATCCTTCAACATTATTGCTACTCCTTCTTTAGCTCAAACTCTATTTGAAACCCCTGACCTAATCCCATTTATTCCTCTCCACTGAAAAACTCCCACCCCCTTCAGCTTTGTTTCACTTAAAGCCAGGACATCCAGCTTCTTCTCATTCATAACATCCACAATCATCTCTTTCTTATCATCTGCACAACATCCACGCACATTCAGACTTCCCACTTTGACAATTTTCTTCTTCTTATTCTTTTTAGTAATCTTTACAGGAAAAGGGGTTACTAGCCCATTGTTCCCGGCATTTTAGTTGACTTTTACAACACGCATGGCTTACGGAGGAAAGATTCTTATTCCACTTCCCCATGGATATAAAAGGAAAATTAATAAGACCAAGAACTATTAAGATAAAATCAAAGAAAACTCAGATGAGTGTGTATAAATAAATGTGTACATGTATGTGTAGTGTGACCTAAGTGTAAGTAGAAGTAGCAAGACATGCCTGTAATCTTGCATATTTATGAGACAGACAAAAGACATCAGCAATCCTACCATCATGTAAAACAATCACAGGCTTTCGTTTTACACTCACTTGGCAGGACGGTAGTACCTCCCTGGGTGGTTGCTGTCTACCAACCTACTATTATTATTATTATTATTATTATTATTTTTTTTTTTTTTCAATAAGTCGACCGTCTCCCACCGAGGCAGGGTGACCCAAAAAAGAAAGAAAATCCCCAAAAAGAAAATACTTTCATCATCATTCAACACTTTCACCACACTCGCACATTATCACTGTTTTTGCAGAGGTGCTCAGAATACAACAGTCTAGAAGCATACACATATAAAGATACACAACATATCCCTCCAAACTGCCAATATCCCCAAACCCCTCCTTTAAAGTGCAGGCATTGTACTTCCCATTTCCAGGACTCAAGTCCGACTATATGAAAATAACCGGTTTCCCTGAATCCCTTCACTAAATATTACCCTGCTCACACTCCAACAGATCGTCAGGTCCCAAGTATCATTCATCTCCATTCACTCCTATCTAACACGCTCATGCACGCTTGCTGGAAGTCCAAGCCCCTCGCCCACAAAACCACCTTTACCCCCTCTTTCCAACCCTTTCGAGGACGACCCCTACCCCTCCTTCTTTCCCCTATAGATTTATATGCTTTCCATGTCATTCTACTTCGATCCATTCTCTCTAAATGACCAAACCACCTCAACAACCCCTCTTCTGCCCTCTGACTAATACTTTTATTAACTCCACACCTTCTCCTAATTTCCATACTCCGAATTTTCTGCATAATATTTACACCACACATTGCCCTTAGACAGGACATCTCCACTGCCTCCAACCGTCTCCTCGCTGCTGCATTTACCACCCAAGCTTCACATCCATATAAGAGTGTTGGTACTACTATACTTTCATACATTCCCTTCTTTGCCTCCATAGATAACGTTTTTTGACTCCACATATACCTCAACACACCACTCACCTTTTTTCCCTCGTCAATTCTATGATTAACCTCATCCTTCATAAATCCATCCGCCAACACGTCAACTCCCAAGTATCTGAAAACATTCACTTCTTCCATACTCCTCCTCCCCAATTTGATATCCAATTTTTCTTTATCTAAATCATTTGATACCTTCATCACCTTACTCTTTTCTATGTTCACTTTCAACTTTCTACCTTTACACACATTCTCAAACTCATCCACTAACCTTTGCAATTTTTCTTTAGAATCTCCCATAAGCACAGTATCATCAGCAAAAAGTAACTGTGTCAATTCCCATTTTGAATTTGATTCCCCATAATTTAATCCCACCCCTCTCCCGAACACCCTAGCATTTACTTCTTTTACAACCCCTTCTATAAATATATTAAACAACCATGGTGACATTACACATCCCTGTCTAAGACCTACTTTCACCAGGAAGTAATCTCCCTCTCTTCTACACACCCTAACCTGAGCCTCACTATCATCATAAAAGCTCTTTACAGCATGTAGTAACTTACCACCTATTCCATATACTTTCAACATCTGCCACATTGGTCCTCTATCCACTCTATCATATGCCTTTTCTAAATCCATAAATGCAATAAAAACTTCCCTACCTTTATCTAAATACTGTTCACATATATGCTTAAATGTAAACACTTGATCTACACATCCCCTACCCACTCTGAAGCCTCCCTGCTCATCCGCAATCCTACATTCTGTCTTACCTCTAATTCTTTCAATTATAACCCTACCGTATACTTTTCCTGGTATACAGTGGACCCCCGGTTAACGATCACCTCCAAATGCGACCAATTATGTAAGTGTATTTATGTAAGTGCGTTTGTACGTGTATGTTTGGGGGTCTGAAATGGACTAATCTACATCACAATATTCCTTATGGGAAAAAATTCGGTCAGTACTGGCACCTGAACATACTACTGGAATGAAAAAAGTTCGTTAACCGGGGGTCCACTGTAGTCGGTAAACTTATTCCTCTATAATTTTACAGTCTCTTTTGTCCCCTTTCCCTGTATATAAAGGGACTATACATGCTCTCTGCCAATCCCTAGGTACCTTCCCCTCTTTCATACATTTATTAAACAGAAGTACCAACCACTCCAACACTATATCCCCCCCTGCTTTTAACATTTCTGTCATGATCCCATCAGTTCCAGCTGCTTTACCCCCTTTCATTCTACGTAATGCCTCACGTACCTCCACCACACTTACATTCTGCTCTTCTTCACTCCTAAAAGATGGTGTACCTCCCTGGCCAGTGCATGAAATTACCGCCTCTCTTTCTTCCTCAACATTTAAAAGTTCCTCAAAATATTCTCGCCATCTACCTAATACCTCCCTCTCCCCATCTACTAACTCCCCTACTCTGTTTTTAACTGACAAATCCACACTTTCCCTAGGCTTTCTTAACTTGTTTAACTCACTCCAAAAATTTTTCTTATTTTCATTAAAATTTCTTGACAGTGCCTCTCCCACTCTATCATCTGCTCTCCTTTTGCACTCTCTCACCACTCTCTTCACCTTTCTTTTACTGTCCATATACTCCGCTCTTCTTATAACACTTCTGCTTTGTAAAGACCTCTCATAAGCTACCTTTTTCTCTTTTATCACACCCTTTACTTCATTCCACCAATCACTCCTCTTTCCACCTGCCCCCACCCTCCTATAACCACAAATGTCTGCCCCACATTCTAATACTGCATTTTTAAAACTATTCCAACCCTCTTCAACCCCCCAACTACTCATCTTTGCACTAGCCCACCTTTCTGCCAACAGTCTCTTATATCTCCCCCGAACTTCCTCCTCCCTTAGTTTATACACTTTCACCTCCCTCTTACTTGTTGTTGCCACCTTCCTCTTTTCCCATCTACCTCTTACTCTAACTGTAGCTACAACTAAATAATGATCCGATATATCAGTTGCCCCTCTATAAACATGTACATCCTGGAGCCTACCCATCAACCTTTTATCCACCAATACATAATCTAACAAACTACTTTCATTATGTGCTACATCATACCTTGTATATTTATTTATCCTCTTTTTCATAAAATATGTATTACTTATTACCAAATCTCTTTCTACACATAGCTCAATTAAAGGCTCCCCATTTACATTTACCCCTGGAACCTCAAATTTACCTACTGCTCCCTCCATAACATTTTTGCCCACTTTAGCATTGAAATCCCCAACCACTATTACTCTCACACTTGATTCAAAATGCCCCACGCATTCACTCAACATTTCCCAAAATCTCTCTCTCTCCTCTACACTTCTCTCTTCTCCAGGTGCATACACGCTTACTATAACCCACTTTTCACATCCAATCTTTATTTTACTCCACATAATCCTTGAATTAATACATTTATAGTCCCTCTTTTCCTGCCATAGCTTATCCTTCAACATTATTGCTACTCCTTCTTTAGCTCTAACTCTATTTGAAACCCCTGACTTAATCCCATTTATTCCTCTCCATTGAAACTCTCCCACCCCCTTCAGCTTTGTTTCACTTAAAGCCAGGACATCCAGCTTCTTCTCATTCATAACATCCACAATCATCTCTTTCTTATCATTTGCACAACATCCAAGCACATTCAGACTTCCCACTTTGACAATTTTCTTCTTCTTATTCTTTTTAGTAGTCTTTACAGGAAAAGGGGTTACTAGCCCATTGTTCCCGGCATTTTAGTCGACTTTTACAACACGCATGGCTTGCGGAGGAAAGATTCTTATTCCACTTCCCCATGGATATAAAAGGAAAAGTAATAAGACCAAGAACTATTAAGATAAAATCAAAGAAAACTCAGATGAGTGTGTATAAATAAACATGTACATATATGTGTAGTGTGACCTAAGTGTAAGTAGAAGTAGCAAGACGTAACTGTAATCTTGCATATTTATGAGACAGACAAAAGACACCAGCAATCCTACCATCATGTAAAACAATTACAGGCTTTCGTTTTACACTCACTTGGCAGGACGGTAGTACCTCCCTGGGTGGTTGCTGTCTGAATGTGTAACTACGTAGCTTTTTTCTAACCACTATATCCAGATCTTTCTTTCAACAAACCAGCCATGTTCCACCAAAGCAGGGTGGCCCAAAAAGAAAAACTAGTTTCTCTTTTTACAGAAGGGGTTACTAGCCTCTTGCTCCTGGCATGTTAGTTGCCTCTTACGACACGCATAGCTTATGGAGGTAGAATTCTGTTCCACTTCCCCATGGAGCTATATCCAGATGTGTATTAATTCAGGCAAGAAAAATTTACTGGTACCTGCCAGATTAGACATTGTTGTTCCCTGATTAGTAAGTAAATAATGTTTTAATACAATACAGTGGACCCCCACCTTACGATCAGCTCCCAACTCGACCAATTATGTAAGTGTATTTTTGTAAGTGCTTTTGTGCGTGTATTTTTGGAGGTCTGAAACGGACTAATCTAATTCACAATATTCCTTATGGGAACAAATTTGGTCTCTAACGGCACCCGAACAGACTTCTGGAATGAAATAATATCGTAAGGCGGGGGTCCACTGTATTGTATATTATTATATCTTCATTACATTATACTGTAGTTTTACATTGTGCTGGTTGGATTAGGTCAACTTACTGTATAACTTATTTTCTTTTTATATATTACAGTCTGTTGCTCACTGTTATAAATCACTTTTAATGGAAGTGATTGTAACAGACTCTGATAATCGTAAGTTTGACAACATATCCTCCTTGGTCTTCAAATGGAGTTTGTCAAATGAGTCCTTAGCAGTTATTCCTGATGAGCCTTCCAGCCTCATGCAAGTCACTACTATACATGGCTTCAGCCTTCCAGTGAAAAGTAAGTAAATGAAGAATCTGCTTTTAAACATATCCACTCTACCCACTAGCTGTAGTGAAAGAATATAAAAAAATAGTTATTACATTGCTTAGGAAGTGAAAAACAAGCAAGAATACATTTAAACGAATTTATATATAGGATAGGGTCTTTACCAAGGAGGCAAGAACAAAGGACTATAGTTGGAAATAATGCTCCTAGATGAGCTTCAGGTAAATTACTAAGCATTTCTTTAACACAAAAGTGGTAAAGAAATAGAATTATCTGAGAAAAAGCAGTTGAAGCAAACTCCAAACAGTGGTTCAAAAAGAGGTATAACAGCTGAATCACATCACTGGGTAAAAAAAATTAAGGCAGGACCAAGAGCTAAAGCTCACCCCATTCAGATTCATAGATAATTACACAGATATAAAGGTCAAGGGAGAATCTGAGTTAGAAGTCAAATATATTTGGAAAAAATTGTGAATCAGACCACTGTACTGCACTTTAGGTATATGCTCTGGAATAATCTGAACTGAAGCAAGTCTGGTGACCCATCTGTCATGTCTTCTCACTTTAGCTTGTGTTTATCCATCCTACTAGTGGAAAATGAGAAAGATGACCACTTTTTCCAAGTTTTTCCATCACAGCCCACCAGGTCTTAAAAGACATGCACCTTTTCCAAACAATTTTTGATGCAGCAAAACTAACTATTGATTCACAGATCAATTTAAGATTTATTGTGTTGGCTTACCTTGATGTAACATTGTATTTGTCAAGTGAACTCAACAATGTTATGTAAATACTGCAAGAGAATTCAAATAATACCTTTACAGTGGTTTTTGCCATCCACTAACCTTTTATAACATTTCATCATATATGCAAAAAACTACAGTAGTTTAATTTTTTATTGCAGCCCATCAGATGCTAAATCCCATTGGAGAAGTGGGAGAAGTGATAGTCGGAGTGAAACTTACTGGTTTCAACAAGTTGGCGTCTGAAGCAGCCATACAACATACACTGTCTTCCCTCTCAGCTTCTTTGCCACTCAGACTAGTTCAGGATGCCATGTTGAAACCACCATCTGCAGTTCTGTATCAGCATAAAGATAATAAGGTACAGTGGAAGCAAGCATTCTCTTAAATTTTATATGTATGCACCATACAGGAAGATCTGTTATTCAGAATAATGCATATGCAAGTGTATGTGAGTTTTGGAAACTAGATATAATGCCAGTTTGGGTGAAAATAATTTGATTTTGAAATTTTATGAAAAGACTTGTTGATTTACTTTGATTCATTTGTGTACTTCATAAGAGGTAAACTTCATTTTCCCAGTCAGTTAACCAAGAAATAAATATATTTACAAACATAATAAATATTTGTCACTGACAAACAAATTCACACAGACAAAATGAAATGAAAGATGAGTGTTGTTGATTTTGGTCTCCCACTGAGGTAGACTTCTAAAGAGGGCCTTGGCCATAAGCTAGAATATCTAATACTCCTCTTAACTTTATTTTCATTATGGGTTTTTTGCAAAGTGATTTGGTTTTGAGAAAAACCCATTACAGTGTATTTGGAAAAATGGATTGTAAGAATGCTAATGGGAAATTAAGAAGTGTATGTGCAGGAGGTTCATATGTAGTTTGGAAGGGTGTTTCAAAGATGTGAAAACAATAGAAAACAGGAAGATGGTAGAATAAGAAGTATATATATGGTGATTGAAAAACTGGAAGAAAGAAGTGCAGCAGAAGGAAGTGAATGTATAAAGATGTGTAGGTGTGGATGTATCAGCAGAGGGGTGAATGAAGGATGAGGTAAATTACAGGTTAGTGAAGGAAAGTATATTTAAGTTTGTCTGATTGCATAATGGGAAATATTGAGTATGCAGGTACTGATTAATATGTTTTAAATGGGCTTGAAGCATGATTTTTGAATGTTGTAGAGGTTGAAGATTATGGAAGTGTTGTGTCTGAGATCAGTGTGTGGTGTGAATAATTGTTATAATGAAGTTGCAGTGATTTAACATTGTTAATTTAAATTATATTTTACAGTTGGATTTAAGTGTAACAGGAGGTTCGGGATTCTTTGAGCTTCAGACTACAGAAAGTGATGTGGCTACTGTCTCATATATGGATAAGGACAGGATGGTTTATGTAAGTACAGTATCTTCAGTTCTGATTCTCTTTCCTTGTAGAAAGAGTATGATGTTGAATCTGTCCTTAACCTTTCAAATGCCCTTGTCCATATTAAATTCCTATATGGATTCACTTTAAATATTTCAGACACCATTTACCAGTCACAACAGTTCAGTGTTTGTTTGATGGTCTTACCTACTATGTAATGACAGATTTTTGCACAATACATGATGCAATATTATAAGGTAGTTATAAATAATGAGCTACAAATCAGTGTTATGCTAAGTCAGAATTCTTTCTTTATTGTGAAATGTATTAATTTAGGTTTCCTAGATCATGGTGTCGACTTCCCTTTTTTGAGAGGGCGAAGTGACACAGCATTTACCATGTTGTGGTCCTATGTGTTGTTTTTCTCAATGCATCCCAGTGGCTCTGTTGGAAGATAGCTGGCCATCTACTTATCCTATAAGTATAGCCTTATACTTGAGCTGTAAAATGGCCAGTGTTTACAGTAGTTGCCATCAGTGATGTCCTGGCCTGATCATTACAGCCAACTTTTTCAGAATAATAAAGCCTCTACATGTCAACTTAGGAGTTATACCCTTTAGTCATTTAATGTTGGGCATTATAGCTGCTGTTCCTAAAAGTATAGTAAATGCTTAGAACATGACATCACATGGCTTGATTTTGTGCACTGTAAATCAAAAAGTGAACTTGGATGCACTCAAGATTTTTAATATTTCTCAGTGAATCATGAAAGAGTCAGCTAACATGAAATTTTCATATTGCCTTGTATAGATTTCCATAGCATCAAGTTACATGCTAAATCTGGATACTAAATGGCATCGCATTTTTTTTTTCCCTCTGCTTTCCTGTTGAGCAGTTTTGCCATTAATGATTTTGGAAATTTTCCTCACCCCATCTCATCTCTGGATGTAAGCAATTGTACTCAAGAATTCTAGTGATGTTGGAGGTGCCAAGAAGAGTAATAGTCATGAAACTATGATATAAATACATGTTTCAGAGAACCAACAAGTTGATGAATTAGACATGTGTGCAGCATTTGGGTATTTTTATTGTGGAAACATCTCGCCACAATGGCTTCATCAGCCCAATACAAAGAAGAATGGTGAAGATCAGAAGGAGTTTGAGGTAGTGAATCCCTCACTCTGGAGTTGATGTAATCAGTCCGTTAATCTTGATTAGAGTGCAGCCCCTTCTTTGTGCATATGCTGTATTCTAATCAAGATCGATAGACTTATTACGTCAGCTCTAGGCTGAGGGACTGATTACCTCAAACTCCTTCTGATCTTCGCCATTGTTCTTTGAATTGGACTGATGAAGTTACTGTGTGGCAAAACATTTCCACAGTAAAGATACCTAAGTGTTGTACATGTCTAATTGTGAAACTGGTGGTACAGTGTTGATGAAGGTGAGATTTTCTAGACATTCTTCAAGGTGCATGTGAGATGGAAAGTGTTCATCCTTCTGGTCTGAGGGAACCATCCATTTACCCTTAGCCCATTAACATGTACTGTATATTATTTCAATTTATTTTTATAAAAATAACCTTTGAAATTTTAATAGAAGATAAGCTGTAAATATATTGTGAAAAATATTAATGTTGCCAATACTATTGATGTTTGCAGGTTCAGCCTCTGTCAGACGGAGAGCTGATAGTGTCACTTGTTGATGTATGTTTACAAGCAGAAAGGCCAGCTACTTCACATGTCAAGGTAATTATGTACCAGCTTATTAGCCAGTTAGTATTTGCCTAATTCTATGATTAATACACATAGACACTTGGTGTTAAGAGGGCTTATTTTAAAATAAGGGGTATTTATAAATAGGCAGTACACAAAATTTAATAAAGGTTAAAAGAAACAATCAAACTGTTAAAAAATTAAAATTTATTACTTTATTTACAAACACAAACACTAGTACAGCAAGTTAATATAATAATTAAATACTTTAATCTAGTAATGGTAAAACTCCTAAATTGTAATTATTAACACTTTCCTAATTTAATGTGCTAACTTAAATAACACGGGAACTCAGCCTTTATTCCACATTTGACCATTAAATCAGCTGAGCAACCATATCTGATAGCAGAAGCAAACAAAACCATGCATGTATGAGCATATACACCAGTGGTAGTCTCCAGGCATTGGAACCTGTTTCTTTTGCTTTTTCCAATTATTATTATCGAGACCTTTTTTTTTTTTTTCTGAAACATCAGCCTTTTCCCACCAAGGTAGGGTGACCCAAAAAGAAAGAAAAAAAAATATTTTCATCATCATTCAACACTTTCACCATCACTCACATAAATCACTGTCTTTGCTGGGACACTTGGATACGACAATTTAGAAGTCCCTCCAAACTGCCAATATCCCAAACTTAAATCTAGGCATATTTATCATTAATGGACAGAACAAACTGTACTTTAAATCTAATAGAAACTGACTTTTTTTTCTTTCTTTAAACTACTCGAAAGTGAATTGAAAATTGGTATACAGTTAGGCATTATAGCATGCCATACCATATTGAAATAGCAAAATTCTTTGTTACTCTTATGTAGAAAGGGGGTTAAAGTAACAGTTTTATAAGGATTTTTTTTTTTTTTTTTTTTTTTTTTTTAATAATTTTTCTAGTTAGGTCGAACCTCTAAAGTATATGTTGCCACCATTATAACATTTTCCAATACATGTATTCTATATTTTTCCAACAAATGGCCCTCATTAGAGGCTTTTAATTGAATTTGCATTACCTGCAAATTTGAGTAAATGTGAATACTTGTTTTTGCATGCATAAACAGATGCATAAGTAAATATTCTCTGCATTGATAGATAGCTAAAGCTTATCTTAAATTATTTTCTTTCTACAAGATTGCTAAAGCTCATCTTAAATTATTTTCTTTCGACAAGATTGCTAAAGCTCATCTTAAATTATTTTCTTTCGACAAGATTGCCAGTATTGCTTCTCTTGACTTGTTGGTTGTGGATCGTGTGGAGTTGGGTGGGATGTTGGAGGCTGAAGTTTTGGTAAAAGACTCGTCAGGTCTTCCACTGCCTTCTCATAAACTGATGAATCTGGCACCTCATCCACAGGCAAATATTATTACAACAAGGTAAGATTTATTCTAATATAAGGTTTTTATTTATTTTTCCACACCTTGCTGCTGCTTCTATTATTATTATTATTATTATTATTATTATTTTCGTCATACAGCCATATCACACCGAGGCAGGGTGATCTAATAAGAAAAACAAAAGTCTCTTCTTTTTTTTATTTTTTTTTTAACAAGTTGGCCGTCTCCCACCGAGGCAGGGTGACCCAAAAAAAGAGAAAATCCCCAAAAAGAAAATACGTACTTTCATCATCATTCAACACTTTCACCTCGCACATAATCACTGTTTTCGCAGAGGTGCTCAGGATACAACAGTTTAGAAGCATATACATATAAAGATACACAACATATCCCTCCAAACTGCCAATATTCCAAACCCCTCCTTTAAAGTGCAGGCATTGTACTTCCCATTTCCAGGACTCAAGTCCGACTATATGAAAATAACTGGTTTCCCTGAATCCCTTCACTAAATATTACCCTGCTCACACTCCAACAGCTCGTCAGGTCCCAAATACCATTCGTCTCCATTCACTCCTATCTAACACGCTCGCGCATGCGTGCTGGAAGTCCAAGCCCCTCGCCCACAAAACCTCCTTTACCCCCTCCCTCCAACCTTTTCGAGGACGACCCCTACCCCGCCTTCTTTCCCCTACAGATTTATATGCTCTCCATGTCATTCTACTTTGATCCATTCTCTCTAAATGACCAAACCACCTCAACAACCCCTCTTCAGCCCTCTGATTAATACTTTTAACTCCACACCTCCCAATTTCCACACTCCAAATTTTCTGCATAATATTTACACCACACATTGCCCTTAGACAGGACATCTCCACTGATTATTATTATTATTATTATTTTTTTTTTTTTTACAAGTCGCGCATCTCCCACTGAGGCAGGGTGACCCAAAAGGAAAAAATCCCCAAAAAGAAAATACTTTCATCATCATTCAACTCTTTTACCTCACTCACACATAATCACTGTTTTTGCAGCTTAGAAGCATATACGTATAAAGATACACAACATATCCCTCCAAACTGTCAATATCCCAAACCCCTCCTTTAGAGTGCAGGCATTGTATTTCCCATTTCCAGGACTCAAGTCCGGCTATATTAACACATCGGCCATCTCCCACCAAGACAGGGTGGCCCAAAAAAGAAAAACTTTCAATGTTATTCACTCCATCACTATCTGCCAGAGGTGTGCTTACACTACAGTTATAAAATTGCAACATTAACACCCCTCCTTCAGCGTGCAGACACTACTACCCATTTCCAGGACTCGAGTCCAGCCTGCTGGTTTCCCACTATTCCTTCATAACTGTTACCTTGCTAACGCTTCAGCAGCATGTCAAGTCCTAAAAACCATTCGCTCCTATCTAACACACTCACGCATGCTTTCTGGAAGTCCAAGCCCCTCGCACACGAAATCTTCTTTACCCCTTTCCCTCCAACCTTTCCTAGGCCAACCCCTACCCCACCTTCCCTCCACTACAGATTTTTTTTTATTATTATTATTAGTAGTAGTAGCGGTAGTAACTCAGCAGTCATCTGTGAATTATTAATGCTCCTCATTTGCACTTGCTTTTATAATACGAATTTATTTAATTTTTCAGGAAAAAGTTTCTTCCAATGTGAGTCCTTATCAGTGGTGACCCACTTAGTGGGCCATTTGATCTTGAAACTGAGGCATTCCTCTGGCGTAGTCCTCCCCTTCAAAAGTTACTACATTTCATTGCAAGGATATTTTGACAAATTACATATTGACATCATTTGTGGTTCAACTTCATAAGTTTGTTTTACTGTAATTATTTTTTTTGTCGTATCTATTTTGTTAGTTTAAATACTCTGTTTAAACACCAGGTATCAGGGAGTAAATCATGAAGGCAATGCTGTGTATGAGGTTACTGGTCGACATGTAGGAGACACAACATTGCGTGTCAGTACTGGCAATGGTGGTCTGGGTGAGGCTTTGATCTACAGTCCTGCTAAACCTATTCAAGTGTTTCCACCGCTTGTGTTGCAACCCCGGAATATTACTCTAATTATTGGTGCAGTTTACCAGGTATTTGTTTTATGAATTAGATGTAAATCATTTACTACTAAAATAGTATAAATAATAAATTTTTCCCTTTTGGTACACATAAGCTGATATTATTTGTGAACCAAAATTAATCGCCAGAAAACATGAAGCAGTAAAGTATATACAAAAAAAAAAAATGACAAAAAAAGGTTTAAGAGTGAACTAGCTCTGAACTACTATAAAATTAGCATAAGTGTTTGCCATCCAAGGAGGAGCTCCCAGTGAGATCATAACATTAGTGTTGAAGTTTCAGAACTTATAACCATGCAAAGAATGTATAGTATTATACATGACATACTGTTGTAATAAAGTTGGTAGAATTACTGACAATATGTAAAGTAATTGGACACAAGTGCAGCTAATGTGACATTTTATTGAGCTTTATCAAGCCGTTACGGCTTGATAAAGCTCCTGGAGAGCAAAACGTTGCCACAATAAAATGTCACATTAGCTGCACTTGTGTCCTTTTACTTTACATGACATACTGTTATAGAATATATGAAAACTATTATATGCTATTAAACTGATGAACCATAAAAATTACATATGGATTTAGCTTTCTTAGATAAGCTGATAATTTATCATATACTGTATGTTTAAAAAAAAAATTATTCAGCTTGTACTTTAAATCAAATTTAAACACTGTGTTAAATAATTAACAATATGGACAAGGTCAAGCATTAGGCAATTTTAGCATCTGCAGTTATCACTGTGTTGATTTAATTTGGTATGTAAATAATAAGAATTACTGTAAATGCAAAATGAAAATTAGTAAATAAAATTAACTGTTTAACTAGTTTTGTTCATCATCAATTACTAATTACTTTTCACTTCTTATGAATGGCCCTCATGCACAAATAATAATACAACAGACAAATGTAAAGTGAAACATCTCTATTCTTTGATGCACGAGTTGCTTCACTTTTTATATTTTCAGGTGGAAACCAGTGGTGGCCCTTACCCAGATGCAAGTGTAGAATTTTTAATAGCTAATGAAACAATTGCCAGTACATCACATGCTGGAATAGTTACTGCCCTGTCCCTGGGCACAACAATTTTGACTGCCCAGGCTGTTAGTGTCGGTAAAGAAACTGGTTACAAGATTGTTTATTCGCAGGTATGTTTATATTTTAATGATTATATACATGTGTATATCTGTATGAAAATATAGTGGTACCAACACTCTTATATGGATGTGAAGCTTGGGTGGTAAATGCAGCAGCGAGGAGATGGTATGAGGCAGTGGAGATGTCCTGTTTAAGGGCAATGTGTGGTGTAAATATTATGCAGAAAATTCGGAGTGTGGAAATTAGGAGAAGGTGTGGAGTTAATAAAAGTATTAGTCAGAGGGCAGAAGAGGGGTTGTTGAGGTGGTTTGGTCATTTAGAGAGAATGGATCAAAGTAGAATGACATGGAAAGCATATAAATCTATAGGGGAAGGAAGGAGGGGTAAGGGGTCATCCTCGAAAGGGTTGGAAAGAGGGGGTAAAGGAGGTTTTGTGGGCGAGGGGCTTGGACTTCCAGCAAGCGTGCGTGAGCATGTTAGATAGGAGTGAATGGAGACGAATGATACTTGGGACCTGACGATATGTTGGAGTGTGAGCAGGGTAATATTTAGTGAAGGGATTCAGGGAAACCGGTTATTTTCATATAGTCGGACTTGAGTCCTGGAAATGGGAAGTACAATGCCTGCACTTTAAAGGAGGGGTTTGGGATATTGGCAGTTTGGAGGGATATGTTGTGTATCTTTATACGTATATGCTTCTAAACTGTTGTATTCTGAGCACCTCTGCAAAAACAGTGATAATGTGTGAGTGTGGTGAAAGTGTTGAATGATGAAAGTATTTTCTTTTTGGGGATTTTTGTTCTTTTTTGGGTCACCCTGCCTCAGTGGGAGACAGCCGACTTGTTGAAAAAAAAAAAAATCTATATACTTTTCTCAGTGGACATCTCCCACTCAACGTAGGGTGACCCATCATTCACTCATTCCCTCAATCATTGTGATGACATCACAATTTAAATGACCCTCCATGTAAGACATCCTCATCTCTCCTTCACAGTGCAGGCACTGCCCTTGATGACTAAAGTCCTACTAACTGGTTTCCCTTAATTCTTTCGTAATTGTTAACTTGATCACACTCGGCTGTATGTCCATGTAAAACTGCTTTTCTCCACCCAGTAACATGCTAACAACTACAACCAAAAATAGTTGAATCAAGCCACTACCTTTACCCCCACCCTCCAGCCCATCCTGGGATGAACCCTACCCCTTTTTACTTCCACCTCGGATTTATACATCCCGATCATCCTATTCTGCTCCATCCTCTTAAAATGCCCAAACCACCTCAACAACCTCTCCTCAGCCCTCTTAATTATGCTTTTGGTAATTCCACACAATTTTCTAATCTCCATACTCAAGAGTATTTCTTTTTATCAATTTTATTTTTATTTTGTGGTTTATTAGGCAAAATATAATTAGGAATAAAAGAAAGCTAGTGGTTATTCATTTCTAGTTATTTTAATTAGGCACCATGGAAGGAAAAGATCATTATAGGGCACCCTGGAAGGAAAGGATATATGGTACCTTGAAAGGATCATATAAGGTGCTCTGGAAAGTAAATGCCAATATAAGGTACCCAGGATGGAAAAGACCTGCAAGATATAGGCATAGTGGGGAAAGTGTGTGTAATCTGTAGATTGTTGGATAAATGCAAATTTAAGAGACTTCATAGCTATAAAGAATCTTTATTATAAAAGCTCTGAAATTATTCTTCATTATTAAGGATACCACAGACTACAATTTAGAAAGAATATTGGAAAATATTATTGGTTTTGGAAAAAAACATTGGAAAAACCTAGAGAAGATAAGATGAATATAGAGAGACCAAAACAAAAAATATCTTTTTCCCCAGTGGCAAACTCTAATCTACAATCCTCTACACCCAGGTAGAACAAAACTCAAAATGCTGCTACCCTCAGAGACTCAGCATATGAAAAGATAACAGGCTTATCAAATCTCTTAATACTCTCCACATTACCTCCATGTAAACCTTCTCATCACTAACACCCAGTTCAAACATGACCCTACCCATCACACCTCTGAGCCTGAAAATATGATTAAGGAAACTTATATTTTTTGTCATTACCCATCAGAGGCAGTGAGGTATCCATTAGGAAATGGTAGTATTATCTCAGGATTATCAGACAGGACTGAACCAACACCATTTTTTGTACTGCTCAACTCTCAGGCTTATTGATCTTGGTGAGGCAGGTTCCATACGTAGTTTGAAGAGCAGGTACGGTAGGGCCCATGAGGCTAAGACAGTGAATCTGAAGAGTGAAAAAATAAGAGGCAGGGCAAGGACCTGGGAGTCACCCCCTGCAAGCACAAATAGGTGAGTATATAAAGTATTGTATATGCAGTAATTAATGTTTTTTAGGCATGCATTTCTTCATGTTTATGATCTCATTTTACTTTTATATTTGCTAGCAGTATTTATGTATGATTTCATGTACCAGGTTATTGCTACAGTAATCATCTATTTAAATTTTCCTGTTATACCAGCCATTACCACATTTATCTTCTTTTCCCCTATAAGAAATGACATGAATTAAGCATAGGGCAGCTCTGTCCTCCCACTCCTGTTTATTCTCAACCTATATATAGCAAGTCTAGGCAAACATGTAGCATCTTCATCTTCACTGAAATATTTCTGTAGTAGCAGGAGTCCTGAAACTTACTTTTGTGTTGAATTACCAGTAACTTTTATCTGTATGTGCAGAGATTTATTTTTTTTTTTTTTCACGCAGGATGTGGCGATAATCAATGTAATTCCTTTTGAAAAAGTTCGTATTTATGCACCGCTCACCCACTTGGAGACTGGGACAACAATGCCACTATATGCCCTTGGGAGTGAAGACCATTTGAATCCTTTAGCATATGCTACAGCTGTTCCACCATTGCTCTTTGAGTGGTCAATTAACAACAAACAAATTGCTTCATTCATAGGAATTTATAATAAGGTGAGTTGAGTAAGAAGTTTATGTATATGATGCATTAAAAATATATATATTTTTTTTAAAGGTTTGTGCTGTAGATCACTTTATGTATACTGAAATTTGTTTAATTTTTTACCACTTCGGCTGTCTTCTACAAAGGTTGAGTGACCTAAAATGACATTCACTATCATTCATTAGCTCTCCTATTGTGCAGACATCATAGTTCAAATGACCATTTTTAAACCACAGCATCCCTCTCTTTTCTTCAGAGTGAAGGCACTGTACTACCTCCTCTAGGACTCTGTCCAGTTAACTGGTTTCCTTGAATCCCTTCATAAATTTTATCTTGCTTACTCAAACAGCATGTCAAATCCTAAAGACTATTCTTCTCCACTCCACTCTTAATTGTATGTATAGTTAATTGTGATTTATCCAGTGTGCACTTGAATTATTTTCTTTTTCTTCTTTCAACAAACCTGCCGTATCCCACCAAGGCAGGGTGGCCCAAAAAGAAAAACCAAAGCTTCTCTTTTTAAATTTAGTAATTTATACAGGAGAAGGGGTTACTAGCCCCTTACTCCCGGCATTTTAGTCACCTCTTACAACACGCATGGCTTACGGAGAAAGAATTCTGTTCCACTTCCCCATGGAGATAAGAGGAAATAAACAAGAACAAGAACTAGAAAGAAAATAGAAGGAAACCCAGAGGGGTGTGTATATATATACTTGTACATGTATGTGTAGTGTGACCTAAGTGTAAGGAGAAGTAGCAAGACATACCTGAAATCTTGCATGTTTATGAGACAGACAAGACACCAGAAATCCTACCATCATGTCGGACAATTACAGGCTTTTGTTTTACACTTGCTTGGCAGGACGGTAGTACCTCCCTGGGCAGTTGCTGTCTACCAACCTACTACCTAGGTGAATTATTTTCATTTTTATTAATTTAAAAATAATTACTGTAGTACTCTATTTTGGTCTTGCAATGTGTATTGCTACCATACATGTTCTTGTTTGGTATCTTGTTTAAACTTCAACCATTAATCCACTTTTAAAGTTATTTAATGATGAAAATTACATTACTTTTCAGAATGGGCTGCAGGAAACTAAAGAAAATAATGGTATTGTCAGATTGAAAGCTGAACGACCAGGACGAGTCTCTGTGACACTTAAAGTGAAACCTGGTGTTCCTATAAGCCATCCTGACTTCCAGGTTATGGATAATGCTGTTCTTACAGACAAGTTAGAAATCAGGGTATGTATTATTCACTTGTCTATATTTCTTGATTCTTCATATCTTGTAGCAAACGCCGAAGTATTGTGTGAGTCTATATTCGTACCTTACTTTACATACCTTCTCTATAACAGAACCTGCTGTTTAACTTGAAGCTTTCCTTGCAGTGACAGTTATTCTCCACTGGTCGTTTTGGTGGGTCCTGCTCTGTGAGGGGTCCCTTGCAAGATCCAATCTTTGTTTTCAAATCTCCAAATTAAAAATTAGTAATACAGTTTCCTCGCTTATTGACGGAGTTCTTTTCCTAAGACCACATCATTAAATGAATTCATCGCTAAGTGAGGAGCGTGCTATAATCATAATGGGTTTGTGTCGACCATCCTCGATATTGTATTAGTGTCACCTTTGCACCATTTATAACATTTCTGGTATACAGTGGAACCTCAAATTTTGAACATATCGTTTATTGAACTCTTCGAAAATAGAACCCTTTTTTTTAAGCAACTTTGTCCCTATTATCGAACTCGCCCCTATTTTCGAACTGCCGGGTACCAGACCTGTCCAGCAGTTCGCGTCCCCACGCAGGCACCGTGAGCCAGTCTGGTTTTGTTGATGCTTGAGTGAGCACTAACCTGCGCTCTCATTCAAACATTTTAAGATTATTTCATTGTGTTTAGTGCTTGTGGGACTTTGAAATAAGCTACAATGGGCCCAAAGAAACTTGCTAGTGGTACCCCTGTGGTAAAGAAAGTGAGAAACACCATAGATGTGAAGAAGTAAATAATACGAGAAGTGGAATGATGTCTAAATGTTTGTGGAGAAATACCACCCTGAGCAAGCTGAAACAAGCCATCTTTGCAACAAGTTCAGTGACAGAACCATGTCCCGTTACAGGGAAATTTTAAAGAGGCACCAGAAACAGAGGACTGTGGACAGATATTTTGTGAGACAGGGGCCCAGTGACTTTCAAACTGGTCCTAGTGGCATTAAAAGACAGAGAAGGGAAGTAACCCCAGAGAGGGCTTTGATACCTGAAGAACTCATGGAGGGGGATTCTCCTTCCAAACACTAACCCCAACTTCCTCTCTCCTCCTCTCTATCTTCCATATGCCATCACCAGTCTTCAATAAAGGTAAGTAAAATGTTATTTTATATGTTTATTTAAATTTATTAATGCATAATTGAACACTATATTTGTTGTGTATGCAAAACTATAATTAATCTATATATTTTTTTTTTTAACAAGTCGGCCGTCTCCCACCGAGGCAGGGTGACCCAAAAAAGAAAGAAAATCCCCAAAAAGAAAATGCTTTCATCATCATTCAACACTTTCACCACACACATAATCACTGTTTTTGCAGAGGTGCTCAGAATACAACAGTTTAGAAGTATATACGTATAAAGATTCACAACATATTCCTCCAAACTGCCAATATCCCAAACTCCTCCTTTAAAGTGCAGGCATTGTACTTCCCATTTCCAGGACTCGAGTCCGACTATATGAAAATAACCGGTTTCCCTGAATTTTTTTTTTTTTTTTTTTTTTTTTGAACAAGTCGGCCATCTCCCACTGAGGCAGGGTGACCCAAAAAAGAAAGAAAATCCCCAAATAGAAGATACTTTCATCATCATTCAACACTTTCACCACACTCGCACATTATCACTGTTTTTGCAGAGGTGCTCAGAATACAACAGTTTAGAAGCATACACATGTAAAGATACACAACATATCCCTCCAAACTGCCAATATCCCAAACCCCTCCTTTAAAGTGTAGGCATTGTACTTCCCATTTCCAGGACTCAACTCCGACTATATGAAAATAACCGGTTTCCCTGAATCCCTTCACTAAATATTACCCTGCTCACACTCCAACAGATCGTCAGGTCCCAAGTACCATTCGTCTCCATTCACTCCTATCTAACACGCTCACGCACGCTTGCTGGAAGTCCAAGCCCCTTGCCCACAAAACCTCCTTTACCCCCTCTCTCCAACCCTTTCGAGGACAACCCCTACCCCGCCTTCCTTCACCTATAGATTTATATGCTTTCCATGTCATTCTACTTTGATCCATTCTCTCTAAATGACCAAACCACCTCAACAACCCCTCTTCTGCCCTCTGACTAATATTTTTATTAACTCCACACCTTTTCCTAATTTCCAAACTCCGAATTTTCTGCATAATATTTACACCACACATTGCCCTTAAACAGGACATCTCCACTGCCTCCAACCGTCTCCTCGCTGCTGCATTTACCACCCAAGCTTCACACCCATATAAGAGTGTTGGTAATACTATACTTTCATACATTCCCTTCTTTGCCTCCATAGATAACATTTTTTGACTCCACATATACCTCAACACACCATTCACCACTTGCACTTTAACCCTTAAACTGTCTAAACGTAGATCTAAGTTCACTCACCCAGTGCTCCGAATGCTTTTTTTTTTTTTTTTTTTTTTCATTCATTCATTCGTTTAAAGAGGGCAATTTTGTGTGTGTAATAAGACCAAAAAGAACAAAATTTGGAATCAGTACTTGCCGAGATATAAGACCATGAAGTTGGCACTGGATGCTCACGTGACATCAACATTGAGTCCTGCCTCTTGCAGAAGTGTTGCCAATATACCTTTTTTTTTTTTTTTTTTTTTTTTTCTTTTTTTTTCACATTTTTATTTTATGTTCTGATAATTATAATAGTTCTTGTGATTTCATAGCCAGTCTTTATTCTGACACTAATATTAGGTACTGAAACAGTACTCAGATAGTCACAAACACACTGACAGGTGAACATTTTCACTTGCCTTGGTCATTTACTATTGTCTAGAAATATAGGTCTCAGCAATGTTTTATACATGCTGGAGTATGTATGAAACTACTTGAAGTGTGGTGTTATTCCGAGTATCAGTAAACTGCTGACAGTGCAGTGACACTGGATGAACGTGCACTGCTCCAGGGAACCCTGGCTTTATTTGTTTTCACTGTTACACACAAACATTGTCTGTCTAGCTCTGCTTATCTGTCTGTCTAGCTCTGCTTGTCTGTCTTTGTCTGCCTGTGTGTATCTGTCTTTCTGTCTGCTTGTTTCTGTCTCAGGGAGCGGCTCGTAAACCAACAGGTTTACGAGCCACTCCCTGATTCCTGGGAAAGTAAAAATGCGTATTACATGAATCATGCTTATTATGCCTTATATCTACAAGCACTATATAGGACTTTGCCTGGAATTTTTGGGTTATCCTAGGTAATTTACACTGTATAATTGTACTTGTGTACCTGTGAGAGACAGACAGACAGACACAGACAGAAAGACAGCCAAAGTCAGTCAGCCAGCCAGTCGGCTACCCAGCCAGCCAACCTGCCGAATACATATTACACATGTTCCAGAATCATTGCTCTTTACTTAGGGCATAGGTTATTGCACATTCTGGCAGGATGACACTACCAGTGGTATCAGAAATGAAAAGATGTTGCACGTGGGTTATTGTCGAGGTTTTTGATGTTTCCTCAACCACTTGTAATCACGTCCATCTCAGAGCCACTAAACTCTGGGTCATCATCACTTTCTTCTTAAAATGGGAGTGTTAATATGACATGACATCACATCAGTGAATCCCTGGTGTTTGCCACGCTATTTGCTCGAGCTGGCACTCAATTGAACTGGTGCTCCCACAAGGTACTAAGTGGTCTCAGATTTTTTTAATATTGCACACACCGAGTGTTAAGACCCATTCTGTACTGACCAGGCATCTTAGGCCAATTGTGCCAAATTTGGAGGCAGGAAAAATAAAACGTAGATCTATGTTTGGAGCGCTAGCAGTACAAACGTAGAGCTACATTTGGAGCACTAGCGGTACAAACATAGAGCTACGTTTGGAGCGCTAGCAGTACAAATGTAGATCTACGTTTGCAGTGCTAGCAGTACAAATGTAGAGCTACATTTGGAGCGCTAGCAGTGCAAATGTAGAGCTACGTTTGGACAGTTTAACCCTTAAACTGTCCAAATGTAGATCTACGTTCGTTCGCGTAGCACTCCAAACATAGATCTACATTTTTTTACATTCTTTCTTATGGGGAAAATCAAGGTTGAAGCGCTACAGGTGAAAACGTAGATTTACGTTTGGACAGTTTAAGGGTTAAGGGTTAAAGGAGGGGTTTGGGATATTGGCTGTTTGGAGTGATATCTAAACTGTTATATCTGGGCACCTCTGCAAAGACAGTGATTATGCGTGAATGATCGTGAAAGTGTTGAATGATGGTGAAAGTGTTTTTCTTTTTTGGGTCACCCTGCCTTGGTGGGAGATGGCCGACATGTTAAAAAAAAATGTATATGTATATTTTTTTACTCAATGCTGTTTCCTGCCAAGGCAGGGTGACTCAAAGAAAACATTTACCAGCATACGCTCAGTTGCCATCTTTCCAGAAGTGTGCTGACATCACTATCAGATTATCTCTCTTGCTGTAATATCCTCACCTTATAAACATTTTTATATTGTCAGGTATTTGAATCTTTGAGACTGACGTATCCTGGTGATGGATCATCTGAACTCTTGTTGTCTACACATGCTGAGGCCAAGATTATCACTAACAGGTAAATTCATACAGTCTGTCATTTTTTCTCTTGTATTATTTATCTAATTCATATGGTAATGTTGTATTCTATAGGCATTGAGCATGATAAATGCAAAGTATCATTATCAGAATGGTTCACTAGCAATAATCCATTCAGCATGTAGAAAAACCATTAAGAGATTATATACTGACTATGGAAAAATGGACACCAATGCAGTATAATGCAATCCTTTATTGACTACATTTTGCCCACACAGTTGACTTTATGTAGATAGTAAGTTGATAGACAGCAACCACCCAGGGAGGTACTACCATGCTGCCAAGTGAGTGTAAAACGAAAGCCTGTAATTGTTTTACATGATGGCAGGATTGCTGGTACGTCTTGCTACTTCTACTTACACTTAGGTCATACTACACATACATGTACAAGCACATATATACACACCCCTCTGGGTTTTCTTCTATTTTCTTTCTAGTTCTTATTCTTGTTTATTTCCTCTTATCTCCATGGGGAAGTGGAACAGAATTCTTCCTCCGTAAGCCATGCGTGTTGTAAGAGGCAACTAAAATGCCGGGAGCAAGGGGCTAGTAACCTCTTCTCCTGTATATATTACTAAATGTAAAAGGAGAAACTTTCGTTTTTCCTTTTGGGCCACCCCGCCTCGGTGGGATACGGCCGGTGTGTTGAAAGAAAGAAAGAAGTTGATAGACAGCAACCACCCAGGGAGGTACTACCATGCTGCCAAGTGAGTGTAAAACGAAAGCCTGTAATTGTTTTACATGATGGCAGGATTGCTGGTACGTCTTGCTACTTCTACTTACACTTAGGTCATACTACACATACATGTACAAGCATATATATACACACACCCCTCTTTTTTTTTTCTATATTCTTTCTAGTTCTTGTTCTTGTTTATTTCCTCTTATCTCCATGGGAAAGTGGAACAGAATTCTTCCTCCGTAAGCCATGCGTGTTGTAAGAGGCGACTAAAATGCCAGGAGCAAGGGGCTAGTAACCCCTTCTCCTGTATAAATTAATAAATTTAAAAAAAAAAAATTTTTGGAGGGGAGGCCACCCTGTCTTGGTGGGATACGGCCGGTTTGTTGAAAGAAGAAAGAAGTTGACTTTATCTACTCATAAACAGATCTGACATTTATACTGGCTATACTGACAAAGATGTCACTGGAGATTTTGAACCAAAATTGCTAGTCGGTAGACCACAAAAAATTTCTAGTCTCTTTTCTAACTTAATGGAGGATTAATGAAAGTAAGGGCTAGTCTGAAGTTAAGACTTAATTTTGCAAACTTACTCCATTTTCTCTGCCAAATATTGGAAAACAGACTTAATGTACAAGACCTAAGTCAGCATCATATGGGGTTGGAAAAATAGGGAGGAGTAGGGAGGGTGAGAAAGAAGAAAGACAGATTTTTTTTTTTTTTTTTTTTTTTTTTTTTTTTTTTTTTTTTTTTTTTTTTTTTTTTTTAGCACATCAGCCATATCCCACCGAGGCAGGGTGACCCAAAAAGAAAGGAAAACCCAAAAAGAAAAAAAAAACTTTCATCAACACTTTCACCATCATTCATACATAATCACTGTCTTTGCAGAGGCACTCAGATACGACAGTTTAGATGTCACTCCAAATAGATAATATCCCAAACCCCTCCTTTAAAGTGCAGACATTGTACTTCCCACCTCTAGGACTCAAGTCCTGCTAACTGGTTTCCCCGAATCCCTTCACAAAATATTACCCTGCTCACACTCCAACAGCTCATCAGGTCCCATAAACCATTCATCTCCATTCACTTCTATCTAACATGCTCAAGCACACTTGCTGGAAGTCGAAGCCCTCTTGCCCACAAAACCTCATTTACCCTCTCCCTCCAACCTTTCCTAGGACAGCCCCTATCCAGCAGATATAGCTGTAAAATGATTACCTGATTTGTAAGGCTGTTGCTATCTGCAACCTGTAGGCCTACATAGCCATTAATCCTTTGACTGTCGCAAGCCCCTTTCTGAAACTCATTCTATGTCGAAAAATTTTTGGAAAAAAAAAAAAAATTCTTATGAAATGATAGAGAATCTTTTCCCGATGGTAATGACACCAAGAGTATGAAATTTGATCGAAAACTTATGGAATTGCACTCCCGCAAAGTTAGCCATCTTGGCAATATATACACATCGGCGATGTTGCCGACTTTGAACCCTATTTTTGGCCAATTCCATTGTTTGTCGACCAAACTCATAGCTATTTCTTTAGAACTCCATTTTTTTCTATAAAATGAGTACAAGAAACTGCCCATTTACCGATTTCAACTACCCAATAAAGTGGTCAGAAATTGCCAATTTGGCCAATTTCAAAATAGGGTCCAGAATAAACAACAGACATTCTTGGCACTAAAATAACATCTCTGTTTATTAGTCATGTCTCTAGGCCCCTCTTTTATTACTCTTGCTTTCTATTTTGATTTTTTATTCACACAATAAATAGAAGATTTACTGCTATACAGACTACTGCATTATTGTAAAAATGGTATAAATAATATCAGTGCACTAGTGAAAGAATATTTGACTCCCCAGTTGACGTGTATTGGACGTGTGGTGTGATTTGCTTACTCTTGAACATTGGTAAAAATCAAACATTTCCGCTAATTTGAGCTCAATTTCAAGGTCGTTTTCATCGTGAAACTAATCAGAATCATCTCTATTTCTGTACTATGTTTTCCATTCTATGAAATGAGACCAAGAAAATGAGAATACAACCATAAATACTATAAGAAAATACACCTCAGAGTCGGCGTTTTAATCCAAAAACACGGTCGGAGTTTTTTTTTTTTTCTCATGCACTGCGTGCTAAAAGATTTTTTCATACAGTGCACACTGACCACACAGACCCATTCTCTCACATGTGGGCCTACCACCTTTCTCCTGCTTGATTTGAAGCCGCTAGATTTTTTTTTTTTTTTTTAACAAGTCGGCCGTCTCCCACCTAGGCAGGGTGACCCAAAAAGAAAAAAAAAAAGAAAATACTTACATCATCATTCAACACTTTCACCTCACTCACACATAATCACTGTTTTTGCAGAGGTGCTCAGAACACAACAGCTTAGAAGCATATACCTATAAAGATACACAACATATCCTTCCAAACTGCCAATATCCCGAACCCCTCCTTTAGAGTGCAGGCATTGTACTTCCCATTTCCAGGGCTCAAGTCCGGCTATATAAAAATAACCAGTTTCCCTGAATCCCTTCACTAAATATTACCCTGCTCACACTCCAACAGATCGTCAGGTCCCAAATACCATTTGTCTCCATCCACTCCTATCTAACATGCTCACGCACGCTTGCTGGAAGTCCAGGCCCCTCGCCCACAAAACCTCCTTTACCCCCTCCCTCCAACCTTTTCGAGGACGACCCCTACCCCGCCTTCCTTCCCCTACAGATTTATACTCTCTCCATGTCATTCTACTTTGATCTATTCTCTCTAAATGACCAAACCACCTCAGCAACCCCTCTTCAGCCCTCTGACTAATACCTTTATTAACTCCACACCTTCTCCTAATTTCCACACTCTGAATTTTCTGCATAATATTTACACCACACATTGCCCTTAGACAGGACATCTCCACTGCCTCCAACCACCTCCTCTCTGCTGCATTCACAACCCAAGCTTCCCACCCATATAAGAGTGTTGGTACTACTATACTTTCATACATTCCCTTCTTTGCCTCCATAGATAACGTTTTTTGTCTCCAAATATACCTCAACACAACACTCAACTTTTTTCCCTCATCAATTCTATGATTAACCTCATCCTTCATAAATCCATCCGCCGACACGTCAACTCTCAAATATCTGAGAACATTCACTTCTTCCATAGTACTCCTCCCCAATTTGATATTCAATTTTTCTTTATCTAAATCATTTGATACCCTCATCACCTTACTCTTTTCTATGTTCACTTTCAACTTTCTACCTTTACACACACTCCCAAACTACTCCACTAACCTTTGCAATTTTTCTTTAGAATCTCCCATGAGCACAGTATCATCAGCAAAAAGCAGCTGTGTCCCTTCCCATTTTGTATTTGTTTCCCCATAATTTAATCCCACCCCTCTCCCGAACACCCTAGCATTTACTTCTTTTACAACCCCATCTATAAATATATTCAACAACCATGGTGACATTACACATCCCTGTCTAAGACCTACTTTTACTGGGAAGTAGTCTCCCTCTCTTCTACACACCCTAACCTGAGCCTCACTATCCTCATAAAAACTCTTTACAGCATTTAGCAACTTAGCACCTAGAAATATTGAGTATATATACGTCCGAAACACTGGCTCATAAGACGTATATATATGACCAAAACAGTCACAGGGTTGAAGCTGTGCTAATAAGGCAGGAAATTATCTAATATCCTCTTAGAGATTTCTTCCTTTAAATTTCTAATATTTCTTAAATCTGACAGTTAGTCATGAACATTGGGTGTTGACAAAGTTTGGTAATTGCACTTAACAGTGCTCCTTCCTTTTCATTGGTTTTATTCCTTTTTTGTCTCGTATCTCTCACTCCAGTAAATTATTTGAATATATAAATTGGGTACCTGGCCTGTGTGTATTTTGACTTGTGAAATCATAATGACATGATTGCAAACAAACCATACCATGAGCGGGCCTTGAACCCACGGGTTCAAGCCCCGCCTGTGGTATGGTCTGTGTGCATTTTGTATGTACTCAACTATATGTGGCTGCAGGGGCTAAACCGCAGCTCCTGACTCTGCCTCTCACCTTACCATTGAGAGATTCACTCCTATCTTTATAGACCTTATCATACCAACTCTTAAAGCTATGTATGGAGCCTGCCTCCACTACTTCTCACCAAGATCATTCCACTTTCTGACCACCCTGAGACTGAAAAAGTACTTCCTGATATCCCTGTGGCTCATCTGTCTTTAACCTCTAACTGTATCATTACGCAAAATATCTTCCTTGCATCAAATTGGGTTGCCTCCCATTCCCAGGCTCAGTATGACCCCCCTACAGGTTTAGTGCTTCCCCTTAATAAAATGGTTGTATATGACTAAATTACTTGACAAATGAGGGAGAATGATGAACTATAAGTTACCTAAAAAAGTACAAAACTGGCTATGGAAGAAGGGTTAAAATGCATGTTTGCATGAATATTTGAGTGTGTTGTATATTTTCCATATCCAATACAGGACATGATGTTAGTGCTTAATATTTTCTTGTATGAAGACAATAAAAATATAATTTTTTACAAATGACCCACACTGACAAGGAAACTTTAGATGTTATGGTCTTAGTGACCGAATATTACGTTGCACATGAATGTAAATAAGAAAAATCAGAATACAGGTCAGGTAAAGACGCGAGGAGAAAGTCAAAGGCAGGTCAGGTGATGAAAATACCAGGAAGCAGGTCTGGAGGTGAGTAGTAGTAAGATATCTCAAATTATGTGTTAATGTTCTCTAAAACTTAATGTTACTGGCCTGACCTGTATTCTGGTATTTTTGTCATCTGGCTATCTTCTGAGCTCCTTACCTCTTTACTTAACCTGCCTTTTGGTTTTCTTTCGTCTCTGGCTCAGTTGTGACTTCATAATGAGCCGAGATAAACCAAAGCATCTAAAATTTCATCACCAAGGTATGGATTTTTATGTATTGTTCCAACCTTGGTGTTGTGACTGGTTCTTAAGTAAATTTGTTTTGCCTTCGTTTTTCTTGGCAAGCAGAGATGTCCTTCACCTTGTTAAACATGATGATCTGAAGGCGTATGATCCTACTGGTGCACCTGCAGTAGGGCAGCAAAGGTGTGACAAAATTTTGTTGTGGTTCTGATGCAGTATGTTGCTTCTTTTTTTTTTTTTTTTTTTTTTCTCCTCCTCTCTCAAAATTATTAACATTGTTTTTTATGCTATAGCTTAACTAATTCACAAGAAAATGCCAATTTCTTTTATCACCCTGAATTGCATTTAAGGTTTTGACATTTTCAGTTCTAAATTGCTTTTTATCTTCATTTTCCTAGTCTCTGCTCAGATTGCCAGGATAAACATTCAAATTATCAGCTGACTTGTAACCTTTTCTGCCTCTTTCACATTTTGTAAGTTTACCTGAGCTTAAGCTCTGATAAATTGTTAAGAGTTGCCTAGCATCCTTCACTGTTCATCCACACTGCTTGTTTGTCAGCAACTCTGTATTTCAATTAAAATTATTTAAATAGAAATCCTCTTTATATGCTACTGGTAATTCATGATGAAATTATACCCTTAAGTTTTTTATTGCCATGAAACACTTTCTCTGGCATAGGCTGAAATATTAATGAATTTAGTTTGATATGTTACCTGATGTTATTTTGACTCTCAGTACTGTGAAATCCTTTTATTCCCTCAGGAACAGGATTCGAGAGTTTGTTCCCGTAATTATAAGTGACTAACTTAACAGCCCTACTAAATCAAAATAATAAAAATTAAGAGTTCATTTATTTATCCCTATGATTCATTTCATTACAAGTCATACAAGTATTGCTTCACTATATTCTCATGTGTGGTGTACTTTAGTTTTGTTTGGAAAAATGTCTGATGTTACTGTATAGTAACATCAGACATAGGGTAGTTGATGAGTGGAATGGTCTGCCTAGTAGGGTTATTGCGGCTAAAACCTTGGTTAGTTTCAAATTTAGGTTGGATAAATACATGAGTGAGAGGGGTTGGATTTGAGTGGGACTTTTTTTACGTGAGTAAATAGAATTAACTGGGAATACAAGAAAACGATAATATGGTAAAAGTCCCTGATTTTCGTTCTTCCGATTACAATGGACTTGGGGAACACCTGTCTAATCTCGATTGGGGTTATCTAGACAACGATTTTATTGGCGATGATCATGCTTATGATTACGAAAGGATCTGCGTTTGATTTATTTTCTTAATAATGTACACCGTGCTCAGAGTATGTACATTCCCCAGAGAAAAATTAGGTCCAATAATAACGATCCCAGATGGGTTAACAGGAGGCTAAAGCATCTATTAGGGGAGAAAAGGGAAATTTATAGGCACATTAGAAGAGGAGAGGTTAACTTTACTGACCAATAAGCTCAGCTTAAAAGAGAAGTAAAAAAGGGGATTAGAAAGGCTAAACGTGACTATGAAATTAGAGTTGCTAATGAATCAAAGACCAATCCAAAGGGGTTCTTTCAAGTGTATGAGACGAAGGTGAAGGAAAAAGTAGGACCTCTGAAAATTGGGAATTGACAGCTGATGGATAACAAACTGGAAATGTGTTCCTTATTTAATGACTATTTTTTGTCAATTTTTACACAGAAAGACACAAATGAGATTCCAGAAATTAACAATTTTTCAGTTCCTCTTGAATACATCTTAACTAATATTACTGTCACGAGGGACATGGTTATCAAACATATAGACAAATTGAAGCAAAATAAGTCCCCGGGGCCCGACGAGTTGTTTTCCAGGGTAATTAACGAATGTAAGATGGAGCTTAGTCAGCCATTAACCAGTGTGTTTAATGCGTCCATCCTTACTGGTGTTGTGCCAGAGTTGTGGAAGATGGCTAATGTGGTTCCTATATTCAAATCAGAAGATAAGTCCGTTCCTTCAAATTACCTTCCAATAAGCCTGACATCTATAGTGGGCAAGTTATTAGAATCAGTTATAGCTGACATTATTAGAAGTCACCTTGAAGAGCATAATTTGATTAATGAATCTCAGCATGGGTTCACGAGAGGTCGTTCCTACCTGACAGATTTACTGTCATTCTTCAGTAGAACATTTGAGGCAGTAGAGTGATAAAGAATATGATATTGTTTATCTGGATTTTAGTAAAGCCTTCGATAGAGTACCTCACAAGAGACTCTTAAGAAAAGTGGCAGCTCATGGTATAGGAGGTAAAGTTCTAGCATGGATAGAGGCATGGCTTATTAATAGAAAGCAGAGTTTCCATTAGCCCTTTCAGGGTTTCGGGTGTACTAGTACGGCTGACGCACCAGGGTTTTTGACGTACTTGTATGCCTAAATTCTAGCTCCCTCAGATCTATTGAGAGAAAGCTGGTAGGCCTACATATGAAAGAATGGGTCTATGTGGTCAGTGTGCGCAGTATAAAAAAAATCCTGCAGCACACAGTGCGTAATGAGAAAAAAAAACTTTGACCGTGTTTTTGGATTAAAACCGAATTTGCACTCTATTTTCGTATGGTATTTATTGTTATATTCTAGTTTTCTTGGTCTCATTCTATAGAATGGAAGACATATTACAGAAATTGAGATGATTTTGACTGATTTTACAATGAAAAGTACCTTGAAATTGAGCTCAAAGTAGCAGAAATGTTTGATTTTTACCAAAGTTCAAAAGTAAACAAATCATGCTAAGTGTCCAATACACGTCAACTGGTGAGTCTAATATTCTTTCACAAGTGCGCCGATATTATTTATGCCATTTTTTACACTAATGCAGTAGTCTGCATAACAGCAAATCTTATATTTTTTGTGAGAATAAAAATTCAAAGTGGAAAGCAAAAGAATGTAAGAGGGGCGTTGGGACGTGACTAATGAACAGAGAAAATGTCATTTTAGTGCCAGGAATGTCTTTCTTGTTTATTCTGGACCCTATTTGGAAATTGGCATCTTTTGAAATTTGTGTGAAATTGGCAAAATTGCTAAATTCTGACTACTGTATTGGATAGTTGAAATTGGTAAATGAGTGGATTCTTGCACTCATTCGATAGAAAAAAATGGAGTTCTAGCGAAATAGTTATGATTTTTGTCGACTAGTACAGTGGAATTGGCTGAAAATAGGGCTCAAATTGGGCAGAATCGCCGATACGTAAACATTGTCGAGACCGCTAACTTCGTAACAATATCCCATGATGCTGCAGCATCATGGGATCTTGTTACAAAGAATTCTTCAACACTTGTCCAACCTTTGGACGAAGACCTACTTTGACTACTGGATGGTACCACTATGACCCCATCTCCTCCTGCCTCACCTCACCTCACTACAGTATATAAGCCACGTCTACGGCCCTATGCTGTACATTCTACAAGATTGATGGACTGAACACATCGACTCCAGGCTGAGGGACTGATTACCTCAAACTCCTCCTCTCCTTACGCCTTTCTACTTTGTATTGGACTGATGAAGCCACTGTGTGGCGAAACGTTTCCTGAATAAAGATTCCCATATGTTGCATAAGTGTCTCAATCTCTAACAGAGTTGTGGATGTGTGGAACAATCTTCCCAGTAGGGCAGTGTTATTCACTAATTTTTGCAAGAGAGCCACTTCGGTTAAGCACATTGATTGAGAGAGCCGCAGCTACTGCAAGTTAGCGTAATTCAACTAAATTAAGTAGTACTGTCCCTCAGTCTCCTTGTTGACCACTCGTTTCCCCTCCATCCTCCTTTTCTACTGGTCGGGTCTGGGATGGCTGTTCATCACTATTGCGTTTTTTGTTTAACCACAAATCGATCCATCATAACGGACACTACTTGACTGCACTTTGGTTTCAAGTAAAACTAGCCCATCGCAGCTAGCTTCCACAAGCAGCAACAGTTAAGTCGTTACTTTCATATACAGTGGACCCCCGCATAACAATATTAATCCGTTCCTGAGAGCTCATTGTTATGCGAAATTATCGTTATGCGAATGAATTTTCCCCATAAGAAATAATGGAAATCAAATTAATCCGTGCAAGACACCCAAAAGTATGAAAAAAAAAATTTACCACATGAAATATACATTTTCCTACACACAAAGAGAAGGATACATGCACAATAGTAGAGTAGTACATGCACAATATATATTGTGCATGTACTACTCTACTAAATGAAGAATAAATGACACTTACCTTTATTGAAGATGCAGCAATGACTGATGAGACACTGTGTCCTGGGAGTGCCTTTTCCTCCTGAGTAATGTAGGTCCTGTTTGGCATTTTCTTCCAGAACAGGCCTTATCACACTGTGTATGCCACTACGATTCTTAAATCTCTCAAACCAACCTTTGCTGGCTTTAAATTCACCAATATGAGCACTAGTTCCAGGCATTTTTCCCTGTTCACCTGGGTGTTAGTCGACTGGTGTGGGTTGCATCCTGGGAGACAAGATTAAGGACCCCAATGGAAATAAGTTAGACAGTCTTCGATGACACTGACTTTTTTGGGTTATCCTGGGTGGCTAACCCTCTGGGGTTAATTGTTTCTTGGTATTCTCAATAAGCCACACCAACAACGGTGCTACAGCAGCAGCAGCAGCAGCTGACAGTGCTACAGCAGCAGCAGCAGCAGCAGCAGCAGCTGACAGTGCTACAGCACCAGCAGACGGTACTACAGCAGCAGCTGACAGTGCTACAGCAGCAGCAGCAGCAGCAGTTGACCATGGTACCACAGTATTTCGATAATATTTCTCACCCTTTTTACCACAGGGTTGGCACTAGAAGCTTTCTTGGGGCCCATGGTCACTTATTTTGCAGATAAAATCACCAAAAACGCTGTAATAATACGAAATGTTCCGATTGTATGCTTGGATGTTACCACGGAGGCTGGCTTGTAAACAATGCCACCGGCGGAACATGTGAGGCTGGCTCAGGCCGCACATTAGACGCGTCTCGGACGAATAGCGTTGAGCGGGTTTTTTAGCGGTATGCGAGGCAAAATCTTAGCGATAAAATGTATCGGTATGCGGATTTAACATTATGTGATGCCAACGGTATGCGGGGGTCCACTGTATGTTGCCGCAGTCTCAAATATCTGTTGCCTATTTTCAAACGCAAATCTCTAAGAGTAACGAATTACGTCCAGTCTCCCCCAAAAGCTTGAACTCAACTGATTCAGCGAGACCACCGACGCCTAGAGCTAGACGTGTCCCTGATCAGTTTCCCGTATTGGACACGTATGATTTCTGTACGACTAGGGTAGGGATGTTAGAATGTTATCTCTTACTGTGACTTCGTCTTCCATCTCACCTCATGAAAATATGCGTCTTACTTGAAAAGTTATTTTTCTATATATTTTTTTTATTAATTTATATATTTTTCGAGGGCCGTGAATTGAGTCATCGCGAGCCGCGTAATGAATACCACTGCAGTAGGGTGATCAAGGTTAGGACTTTGGGCAGCTTTAAAAAGAGATTGGACACACATATGAGTGGGAGGGGCAGGGTTTGATTTGTCCTTGGGTACGGGAGTAAATTCTTGGATAGCTTTGGGTAGAGGTCATTTTGATAAGACCCTGCCATGTATGGGCCACTAGGCCTTCTGCAATGTTCCTTCATTCTTATGTTCTTATCATAGCTTATTCCTTGGGTAGTGTTTATTCTGTTAGTGGGTTGGATATGTGAAGGACCTGTCTAGTATGGGCCAACAGGCCTACTGCAGTATTCCTCCTTTTTTATGTTCTTATGAATTGTGTGTGTGTGTGTGTGTTTGTAACACTCCATCTGTCTCCCACTGAATTAGGGTGACTCATCAAGAGGAAAGCACTTTACTGTCACTCATTCAATCACTGTCTTGCCAGAAGGGTGCTTGCATCACAGTTCAGATGACCCTCTAAATGCAATGTTCACACTGGTCCTTAAGAATGCAAGCATTCTACTTTTCACTTCCAGGATTCAAGTCTGGCTAACTGGTTTCCTTGAATCTCCTCATAAATGTTACCTTGCTCCCACTCTAACTGCACATCAGATCATAAAAATCCCTTCATTATCCTTGCATAATAATTAATAAATTTGCTCATAGGTATATAGTGTTCTTAAAGTAATGCTTTATCTGCTTTTTATTACAGAGATGGAGATGGACAGTTATCTTATAGGATAGAAAAATGTAATGGATGTGAAAGCAAAATCCCTGATGTGATTACTGTAAACCACAATGGCATAGTTAAGTCGGGAAGCACACCTGGGCAAGCCACAGTTATAGTCACCATTGAAGAGAATTATGGAGTTACACAGAGTTTATCAGTCTTAGTGGAGGTGAGAATATACAGTACAGTGTATTTCTTGGTCTTAGATGTTACCTTAGGGTTAATGAATATTTCAATAGCATGGCAGCTAATGAGAGGTGTAAAATAGATTTATTGAGCTAAACAGTATATGTACAGGTCTGGCAATCAGTTATTCGGTTCCTTCAGTTATTCGGCACTAATTTTGGCTAGCATAATTTCAAATTTCCAGGGTCGCCACACTAACCTGCTGGTACTGTTTGGTGGCGCTACTTGCTGCATAAGTCATTCCAATTTCTTTTTCTCCATTTAATGTTTTAACCTGCTTACTTTTAGCCCTAGCCATGGTTCCAATGAATCTGCACACAGAAATCACTCCCTACGAAGTAAAAGACTGGGCAGGCATTGCAAAATACCCCCAATTAAAAGTAGGGGTGCCATTGGTACACCAAGAGAAAACACCGTAAGTGTCCGGGGCCCAAGACTGTTCAACAGCCTCCCACCAAGTATAAGGGGAATTACCAATAGGCCCCTGGCTGCCTTCAAGAGGGAGCTGGACAGATACCTAAAGTCAGTGCAGGATCAGTCGGGCTGTGGTTCGTACGTTGGACTATGTGTGCCCAGCAGTAACAGCCTGGTTGATCAAGCCCTGATCCACCGGGAGGCCTCATCGTGGACCGGGCCACGGGGGCGTTGATCCCCGGAATAACCTCCAAATAGACTCCAGGTAGACCTAGCTGACATCAATGGCATACTGTATAGAAAGCCTATGTTGGTGGCACCCCCCAGGATGCTACCCACAGCAGTTGCCGAACACCCAGTTACCTATTTACTGCTAGGTGAACAGGAGCAGCAGGTATAAGAAAATGCCCAACATTTCACCATGCCGGGATTTGTCCCTGGGATTTAGTCCTTTGTAAATAAAACAAATCAACAACAAAAACTTCTTAATTCATAAACCATACAATGCATATGAAAAAAAATTTGGTAAATAAGGGACTGAATAATATACTTGGATAACTATTACTGAAAAGTGATCATAAAAAGGGTGAGGAAGTTGCCATTCATTGACTCATCCAAACTATGATGTCGGCACACTTCTAGCAAGACGGCGAATAAGTGAATGTTAGTGAATGCTTTTTCTTTTTGTATGAACCTGCCTCATTGGAAGATGGCTAGTGTTTTAATAAAAAAGGCAAAACTTTTTATTATGGATTTCAACTTCCATATTTTTAAATAGCTTTTGATGCTAGAGCAATAAACCCATATTCAGAAAAAATTGTCAATGTAATAAAAACAACTTTAGGTCAATACATTAAGGAAGTGACTTTACTGTGACAAGGCAACACACATCAATACAAGACCTATTATTTACTAAAAAATGGAAAGGAAAATCTTCACTTTTATGTATGATGTATGACTTTTGGAAATAAAAGAGCAATACAAATAGAAATACAAAAGTATAATGAACTATTACAAAAGTATTTCAGAAAAACAAAATTCAATAAATGATTACCAACAAAAAAGAAGTTGTGTAATGTGACAATTTAATCAGAATATACACCAAAAAGGAGAGAGAAAAAAAAAAGGGGTTTAATATAAGGTGTCGGACAGTCATGCATAACAAGGGAGAGATTCAAACATTGGGAAGTGGTGAAGAATTCTTCCTCCCTAAGCCATGTAAGTCATAAAAGACAGCTAAAGTGCTGTATAAATTGCCAAAAGGAAGGCAGATGGGTGCTTTATGGATGTGAAGAAAGAATCAATTTTGAATGTTATGAATGAAAAGAAGCTGGATGTCTTAGCTCTTAAGTGAAGCGAAGGTAAAGGGAGCAAGAGAATTTCAGTGAATGAGAGTTTGTTTGAAATGCAGATGCAAAGTAATTTTCTCCCTAGCTTATTCAACATGACAGATATTTTGTACTATGTTGAAATACTTTACTTATTTTCTGACAGATTACATTTACATTGGGTAATATATTTTTTTTTAACCTATGTAATATTTATATAGTATAGGATGATAATTGTTATACCATACATGTGGACTCTATTGCTTATGTTATTTTGCTCTATCAACAGTCATAGCAGTTTCTGTTGAACTTCTGAGCATACAGTACTACTACCATCTATAGCATTTCTATCACATACTTCCTGTTCTAAGAGTAAGGTGATGAGGGTATCAAATGATTTAGATAAAGAAAAATTGGATATCAAATTGGGGAGGAGGAGTATGGAAGAAGTGAATGTTTTCAGATACTTGGGAGCTGACGTGTCAGCGGATGGATTTATGAAGGATGAGGTTAATCATAGAATTGATGAGGGAAAAAAGGTGAGTGGTGCATTGAGTTATATGTGGAGTCAAAAAACGTTATCTAGAGGGCAGAAGAGGGGTTGTTGAGGTGGTTTGGTCATTTAGAGAGAATGGATCAAAGTAGAATGACATGGAAAGCATATAAATCTATAGGGGAAGGAAGGCGAGGTAGGGGTTGTCCTCGAAAGGGTTGGAGAGAGGGGGTAAAGGAGGTTTTGTGGGCAAGGGGCTTGGACTTCCAGCAAGCGTGCGTGAGCGTGTTAGATAGGAGTGAATGGAGACGAATGGTACTTGGGACCTGACGATCTGTTGGAGTGTGAGCAGGGTAATATTTTGTGAAGGGATTCAGGGAAACTGGTTATTTTCATATAGTCGGACTTGAGTCCTGGAAATGGGAAGTACAATGCCTGCACTTTAAAGGAGGGGTTTGGGATATTGGGGGTTTGGGATATTGGCAGTTTGGAGGGATATGTTGTGTATCTTTATACGTATATGCTTCTGAACTGTTGTATTCTGAGCACCTCTGCAAAAACAGTGATTATGTGTGAGTGTGGTGAAAGTGTTGAATGATGATGAAAGCATTTTCTTTTTGGGGCTTTTCTTTCTTTTTTGGGTCACCCTGCCTCGGTGGGAGACGGCCAATTTCTTGAAAAAAAAAAAAAAAAACTTCCTGTTCTGTGGGAGTTACCCCTAGTATGTACAGGAGGGCCCCGCTTTACGGCGTTCCGCTTTACGGCGTTCCGCTAATACGGACATTTCAAATTATGACCAAAACTCACTATACGGCTCCCCCCACCTGACTTTCTAATACGGTCACCGTGCCCCACCCTGTTTGTTTACATTCTCCATGAGCTCAGTAAGCACTAAGTCTCTCCATTTTGTCTGGAAACTCCAAAATTTCAAATGTTTTTAAAAGTTATTTCATATTTTATATATACTCTGATAATTATACTTATGTATACCTGTACCTAAATAAACTTACATACATCAAGTCATTTAAATGTCGTATATTACGTTAATATACACATTTTCATTAATCCATCCATGATATTTTTTTCAAAATTATATAATAAACACGATGCATAACATATAAATAAGATAAATACACCCCACAGTAGAATAAATAAACATAAATGTGAGCTGTGTAGCAGACGACTTCCACAAGTGGTGATAATAACAATACTGAGTCTCATTAAATGTCGTATATTACGGTAATATACACATTTTCATTAATCCATCCATGATATTTTTTTCAAAATTATATAATAAACACGATACATAACATATAAATAAGATAAATACACCCCACAGTAGAATAAATAAACATAAATGTGAGCTGTGTAGCAGACGACTTCCACAAGTGGTGATAATAACAATACTGAGTCTCATTAAATGTCGTATATTACGGTAATATACACATTTTCATTAATCCAGCCATGATATTTTTTTCAAAATTATATAATAAACACGATACATAACATATAAATAAGAAAAATACACCCCACAGTAGAATAAATAAACATAAATGTGATCTGTGGTAGCAGACGACTTCCACAAGTGACGCCATAATAACAATAGTCACGGAGTCTCATTAAATGTCGTATATTACGGTAATATACACATTTTCATTAATCCAGCCATGATATTTTTTTCAAAATTATATAATAAACACGATACATAACATAAAAAGATGATAAATACACCCCACAATAGAATAAATAAACATAAATATAAGATGTGGGAGCCTGGTTTGTTTACTCTGTGCCTGGCCTGTCACCTCTCATGTATTCATTCTTTCTCTCTCTCATTTATTCGTTTTATCTCATTTACTTACTCCTGACCCTACATTAAGACTACAAATATTTTAAGGTAAGTAATGAGTGAACTGTATATACATTTTATCGCTCTGGGATGCTTAAATATCATAGAATAGTATGTGTGGGTGGGGTGGCCTGGTGAAATAGCCTGCCTATTACAATACATACCACACTTGATTTCTTACAATAAATACTACTTGTCTCACCCTAGATTAAGACTATAAATATTTTAAGGTAAGTAATGAGTGCACTATGTGTGTATTGTACCTTTTTATTGTTTTTTGATGCCTGGTTCTATTGCTAACTTAATATATGTTAGTGTAAACTTGTTATCTAGTGTTTGTATGCATTTATAAGTGGAAAAAAAGGGTGTTCTACTTTACGGCGATTTCCGCTTTACGGCGGTAGCCTGGAACCTAACCCGCCGTATAAGTGGGGCCTTCCTGTATTCATAATTTCCATTTTGTGTCAAGGTGGTCATGAACTTCTTTGATTTCTTCCTTTACCATTTCAGTCTCTGAAGATCTATGAAATAATATATATTTTTAGACGAGTTATTTTTTTCTCTTGATAACCGTTTTGCATGTACACCTACCATCCAACTTACGACCGAGTTCGGTTCCGAGAAACCAGTCGTAAGTCGAACTTTACTACTGAATATCAACAAAACATTTTTGTAATGACTTTATTTTATTGTTTTATTTTGGTATTTCATGTTTTACTGTACTTTTTATGCTGTTAGTACTGTATTTTATACTGTAAGGTTTAGGATAAACACTGTGTACAACACAAATAGTTGTTTATTTCCCAGAAATTTGGCATAAAAAACACAGTCGTAAGTCGAGTGGTCGTAAGTCGAGCAGGTCGTAAGTCGGATGGTAGGTGTATATAGTGTAGGAGGGCCCCGTTTATACAGCTGATTAGGTTCTGGTGGAACATAGCCCTTTTTTTCACTTGCAGATGCATATAAAAGCCTGATAACATGTTTGCACTATCATGTATTAAATGAGCAATAGAACTAGGCCTAAAAAATGCATGTACAGTACATTCATCACTTACCTTAAAATATTTTCGTCCTTAGCCTATAGTGAGTGATGAATATATTTATTGTAGGAAGTCTGAATAAATGAAGAATAAGTATAACTTTAAACCACTGTTAGTGAAACACTGTAAAGCAGGGCCCGCCTGTATATAAATTTGTTACCTAAGAAATTAACCTTCTTTTCTACTTCCTCAGGTAAAGAAGGTTTGTTACATGCAAACTGAAATAGAAAGTTTTATGAGTGTAGCTCCTGGAGAATCTGTCAGTGCTTTACCTGTCGGAGCAACATTACAACTTCATCTTTCATACCATGATAACCGAGGACGAGTTTTCCACGCAACAAGTGCAGAACCAGCCTTTAGCTCCTCAAGGTAACTTTTTTCGAGTGGCGTACTGTATGTACAGTATATTTTTCCATAATTTCTCCCATTATGGTAGTGACAAAAAAAAGTCTTCTGCAGTAGCTGTCTTGCCAGAGATGTACGGACATAAATAGTTCAAATGACCCTTAGAACTGCAGCATTCTCCACCCCTCTTTCAGAGTGCACACGGAAGACTTAACTTTATTAACATATCTCTAACATGTCAATGTTTAAACATGCTTTGACACAGTCAAACTCTTCTAGAAGTTCTTCAGTATCATGCATATTTAGCATCTAATAAATATACAAATAGATTTAGGGCTTCACCTATAATTTAACAGCTTATTTCCTGAAATACTGACATGCTCAAAAATTGAGGCCCTTATCTATAAATGGAATATTGTACTTTCTGGCCACATTGTATTTAATTTTGCATCTGAATTTGTTCAGTTTCCATATACTGGTAGCTTTAGTGTAATCTCTGAATTTTACAGATTTGATCTTGTTGGTGTTAGTCATGGGAAATTGAATGACACACTGCTGGTAGATATACGAGGATCTGGGCAAACAGTACTGCACATGTGGGATGAGAATAACGACCTAATTCGTGATTATCTGCGCATCATTGCTGGTCCTGCAATAACTCCTGACAAGGTATATTGAACCTGTTTTCTTTGTGATGGAAATCTTAGTAAATTTTGCAATGCTCTGATCTCCATGCTTATGAAACAGCTTTGCCCTGGGAGGTTCAGACTTGTGCAGATGATATTAAGGGTTTCAGACATATGTATCTTCCAAAATATTCTTACAGCCTTTCAGACACAGATGTGAAAGGCTGTATGTTTTCTTTTTCATCATTTCTTTATTCCCTCCTTTCTCTCCTTTGCCCTTCATTCTCTTTCTCTATCCATTCTATATTTTTTCATCCTTTGCTCTGTTCTTTCTCCATTATTTTTCTTTTCTCTCTCTCTTCCTCTTCTTTCTCACTCTTATTGTTTATCTTAGTAAAGCACAATTCTGAGATCAGAACTTGCGTTTGCTTATTTGTCTTAATAAAGTAAAATCAGAAATGGATAATTGGTTCCAGAGTAAGGAAATAACTCTGAATATTGGTTAGCCAGACTAGTCTTGTAGGGATGGATATATCTTGCAGTT